CTGGAAGTTGGCATTAGCAGCAAATCCTATTGGGAGAATATTTAGAGACGTTTTACCTCTGCGAGAGAAAGCCAAGCTGCTTTCCACCCCAAATCACATTCTCTTGGTACGTTTAAATATAACATCTTTAGTCCAGAGCCTGCTATGCAGCACTTTTGAAAGGAAGAGTAACAAAGGAAAGGGGAAGAGAGGAAAGCGCCCCTCTTTCCTACATCTAAGTGTGCAGCAAACACATTCAAAGGGTAATTAGACTGAAAGAAACAATTTGCCATATGGAGACAACCCCATTTTGTTAGCAGAAATTAAAGTAGATCTAGAATCATTCATGGGAAAATGGCGAGTGGACTATTAAATACTAAGAAGACAAAGATAATGTTAACTGGCCTGGTGGATGAACATACTGACAGTTGATGGCAAAAGGTGGGGCTTTGGGGAAACTCAAGAACGAAGGTGGATGGAGAAGTAATAAGACTGGTCTTAAAAGAGGAAGGCAATGACAGGCTCGATCCCGAAAAAGATTTCAACCAGAACAGTGATTAGAATAGCTTAAACCGTGGTCCGTCCAGTGAAAACCACGGCTCTAAAAAGTGGAGGCTGAAAGGAAAATGATAGAAAGAAGATAGAATTATGAGCTTTGGAGAAGGTTTTTCTGATTGCAGCACAACCCAATACTGTAAATCAGTCTTGGACCAAACTGAGGTTGATCGGTGCTTCCTTGATCAACAAGCAGAAGATCACCTGCTTTGGGCAGTGATGGAAGAGAGGGACAGTGAGGTTTGGCAAAAGCAAAGAGAGTATAAGGGGAAGGCACCAAGTGTCTGAATGGACATATCAGGGATTATGGTCCTTGGCCAATTGAGATGGCTTTTGTCCATATAATCACCATCCAGGAGTCAAGCCCAATTTGTTAATATTAATTAACAAAACACAAAGACAAAAGTCACACAACGGATAAACCTCTGGCACAGCCACGTTTTCCAGTACAAAAAATGTTCAGCTTCTGGAAACCCTTTCTATGCTATATTCAGGCACCTCAGTTGGGAGATTGGCAGCAGTCCCAGAGCTCATGATATGGGCAAGATTCAGGAGCTGTCAGCTTACTTCTGGTTCCATGGTTTGAAACTGGAGCAATGCCGGCTTGGGAACAATGGCCTCAAGGTCGTGATGAGACAAATGTACCAGGTGCTGAAAACAAGATTGCGGGTGCTGCAATTTGTTTTACTTTGCCTCTGTACAAACTGGAAATGAGGAATTTGCCTTGGATCTGCAGTAGCTGGGGGGGGGGGGGATACTGATTGGATGACATTTTCTAGCACTCCTATTGGTCAACCAGAGGGGAGAATTGATTGGCTCATGGTGTTCCTGGGCTTTCTCCTTGTTTCCAAGTCTGTAGAAGTGAAGATGATTACAAATCAGAATAACACCTAACAGAGGTGGAAGGGGCCTTGGAGGTCTTCTAGTCCAACCCCCTGCACAAGCAGGAGACCCTTTACCATTCCAGACAAATGGCTGTCTGTCTCTTCTTAAAAACCTCCAGTGATGGAGCATCAACAACTTCTGAACGCAAGCCATTCCTATTTCTCCCTGCAGCAAGGGCCAGCTTCTGTCTCCACGCGTCCCAAAGCCGCCCCTTCCCTCTGAATCCTCCTGTTGGGACTGGCGCCATAGAACAATGTTTGCCCAGTGCAGTGGCGCATGGCGGCAGAGGCAAAAGAAGCTCCTCTGACGCACAGACATTGCGTGAACACTGCAATATTCTTGGGGGTTGGTGGGCTGGGGTGCCCCGAATTTGCTCTCCTGGCTGCCTGTTTCACATAGTTATTTCTGGGACAGAAGGACAAGGGAGTGGATTCTGGACTCTCCTTGTCAAGTTTTCAGATTTGTTCATGACACATATTTTCAAGCCTTCCATTATCTTTTTGCGTTTTAAGTATTATTTACTTTTGTTTAATGAAGTGGAAAACATTAGCCGGAAAAAAAGTGATTGGCCGCTCTGACAGATATATTAAAGGTTTGTTCTGTAATCATTGGGTGATACTTTTATCATATTGTTTATTCATTTGCTAATCCTATTGTTCATTTGTATTTATTGCTGCATACTATATATTTGTTTATGTATTTTCAGGAATTTCATTTATTTATTTATATAGCATTTTTCCAGAGTTTTTTTTTTTTACTGTTTTCTGTATCATGGTTTACTAAATATTCAATTTTAGAAAGATTATCATGAAATTTTCTCTGTTTAAAATGTAAGAATTAGGAGGAAACAAACTGGGTTTTTTTTAAATGTTATTTCATACTGTAAGCCTGGAGTGGCAGAGTGAGGAAGCCTGAAAGGAGCTGGTCAGTTTTGGCTCTCTTCCCCACAGAGGTGTTCGAGAGATCTGTTGGGTTCCTTTTCCAGGCCTTCTGTGACCATGGTCTTTCCAGTCCTCCCGCTAACAGGTTTCCAATCCCAGCAACCTTCCTGGTTTCTAGACAATTCCTGGATGTTACCATGGTGATTCATGACCTAATTAAAGTCACTGGAGTGGTAACCACATTTTCCCATCAAAACAACAAATTCACATCTTTTCTCCAACATTCTTCCAGCCTATTTAAAGAAGTCTCAATCTGGGTCAGCGGTAAGAAATGGGAGGTATTTACTACCATCAGCCTGCATACACACCCTTTTCAAATAGACCAAGGGCTAATAGGTCAGAACTCAGTGCCAGGGCCCACTTCAAAGCCTCATCCCAAGAAAGCAGGACTCGTGGAAGCAGTTTCTTTCCAAAAGGAACTTTTTATTAGGAGAAGCTGATAGCTGGCATGATAGGCAGGATCTGAGGGTTTCCCACTCAGATTGATAGGTTAAAAGAGTCCCAAGCAAACCCCACCCCAACAGTTCATGCGATCAGTTTGAATGGGCCAATCCCCTCCGAAAGGAATGAATTAGGAAAGAGATGAGATAGATCCCCCCCCCCCGGAAAGAATGGGTTCTGACACTCAGTATGATCTTCATTTATCTTGCTTACCTAGTTTACTATCAAGATATGGATAACTTCAAGTGGAGCCCCAGATCTCCCCCCCCCAATCTTGATCTAGCTGCCTTACCATCCCCGAGAATGCCCTCATGACCTCTGGGGGTTCTTTTGAGATAATTCCTCTCTGCACAGCTCCACAGTATCAAGATGCCTGAAACAGGGATACATTTTTTCTGTGTCGCCTTGTTAAAGCCATGTTAAGGTATACAGCTACCTCCATGAAATCTGAATAGGGTATTTAATGATGCATGGGAGCTTTTTAGTCATTGGACATTATTTTCTGTGCAGAATAGAAATAAAGGATTGTGTTGTGTGTAGAATAACGTACCATAAAGATGAGCAGATCTGGCAAGTTTGTTAAGATATTTAATAGCTGGAACAGTAAAGTGGATAATGGGCCAGAACACACAGTGGTGATGGATCGGTTGGAGAGTGCAGGCTCCTGCGTGAGGCAATCTAAGTTATGATTGGTTGCTGGGTGTAAAGGAGGAGTTTCCCTTTTTCCCGCCTTTTTTTCTTCTGGGTGTGCTCTGTATGCTGGTCTGTGATTTTCCTGATGATTTACCTCATGATGTAGTGGTGTGCCTGACTATCTTGTCTATTGTAAATATAAATGTTAAATGTATTTATTTATATAAAACTACAAGTTCATGTCAGCGTCTCTGCGCAATCCCCTGACCAATTTTTCATGTAGTCCTGCTGAGCTGATGCGCCTCTTCCTTGGCGCCTACCAGGATAGGTGCCTCAGGAGATGACGGACTCTCTTTTGTGGAGGCATTTCAGACGAATCCAGAAGGAAAGGAAAAGAGGAGCCTCTCTCTGGCAGGACACTCCGCGTTGTCCTCCCGGTTGTGCGGATGGATCAGTCATGCGCTTGGCTGCCTTCTGCTTGGGGAATGGCCAGGCGGTTAGAAAGTGGGGGGCCTAACTGGACTACCTATGAAGGAGGTTTGGCATGGAAACTGTCTGAACGAGGTTGAAGGGAGCCTGCACACTTGAGGCTGATGTGGGCCTGGTGCTTTGGCCGAGTTCTGGAGGATTTAGGAAAGCGGCTTCCTGGATGGTCTCCTCAGAGGAGGCCTGGAGGCTGGGCGGGAAGGAGCGTGGCCGCGTCTTTCCCGCCTCTGAAGACTGGGCTAAACTGAGCTCAGCGGCTGTTCCCGCCTGGGGATCTTCTTGCCTGAGCCCGGAACTCTTAGCCGCCCCCGCTGACACCCCCCCCCCCAGCAGGCGGACCGCCCGTTGCTCCTTCCTTTCCCCCGAGGCTTGAGGCGCAGAGCCACCCGCGGACGAGGCGCCAGATGGCCCCTCGCGCACATCGGCCGCCAGATGGGCCCGGGGTTCAGGGGACGCAGGCGAGGGGCGCCAACTTCCCCTGCGGGGGGGGGCATCGGCGTCCCCATCTCGCACGGGCGAGGCCCCTTTCGACCGGCCCCGACAAAAGCCGGGTCTGCAGGCGCGGGGAAGGGGCGGCTCCTTGGCGTTGGGAGGCGCCAGAGGGAACCTCAACATAAGCCTCGGCCAAGGAGGCGCGCGGCGGCCGCGGTTGCCAGGACGGGCCCCGGCCGGGAGGGATCCGCTCCCCGGGCTGCGCCGCTGCCACCTGCGCCGCCCCGCCCCGCCCCGCTCGGGCCCCGCCCCCCTCCTGCGGCGCGCGCGGCCACCAGGGAGGGAGGGAGGGAGGAGGGGAGCGGCGCTCCTCCGGCGGGCGGGCCGGCGGGGCGCGCGCAGCCTCCCAGCGCCGCGGCGCTGCCGCAGTTTGCNGCGGCGGCGGCGGCGGCGGCGCTGTCCGGCCAACCTGCCGCTCAGGTGACCGCGGAGCTGGAGGCGCCCGGACCGCGCTGAGCCAGGCGGCGGCGGCGGCGGCGGGCATGCGAGAGGCGGGCCGACGGCGCGAGGGGCTCCGGCCTGCTGGGGCTCCGCTGAGGCGAGCGACGTTGCGGCTGCCGTGGCTGTGAGCCTCCCTGTGCCCGCACCATGCAGAAGGCACTGCGCCTGAACGACGGGCACGCCGTCCACCTGGGGCTGCTGGCCAAGAAGGACGGGGCCCCGCGGGGCTACCTCAGCAAGAGGAGCTCCGACAACACCAAATGGCACCCCAAGTGGTTCGCCCTCCTTCAGAACATGCTGTTCTACTTCGAGAACGACTCCAGTTCCCGGCCGGCTGGCCTCTACCTGTTGGAAGGGTGCCTGTGCGACAGAGCCCCTTCGCCCAAGCCCAAGGATCCGCTGGAGAAGCAGGTGGGATGGGAGCGTGTCGGGGGAGGGAGGGGGCACACTGCTTGAGAAGCGGAGAGGGGCTGGGGGACTCTGAGCCAGGCCAGCCTCTTTGGGGTGCCCCTCTGCATGGGGGAGATCATGTTCGGGAATGTCTCAGCAGTGCCAGGTGCGTTGGGCTGCAGGCAAAGGCAGACTTCACCACCAAGGGCTTGGGATAACCATCCCCCCCTTTCCAAACCTCCCTGACCCCCCCCCTTGCTGCCTAATGAGCTGCATCAGAAGCTGATCCTCCCCCCTTCAGCACCCAAGGCTCAAGTGGCAGGAGCTTCCCCTCCCCATCTTGGAGACATCCAGCCAGAAAATAAGTTAAATGAAGCTGCATGTTTCTTTATAAAATTAAGTATGGTAACCCGTCCAATTAATTAGTCAGCATACTAAAATACAATGCTGCAGGTGGAGGATGTTGTAGGAGGAGAGCTCTGTTAGTCTTTGTGGCAAAAAAAAAATAGTCTAGTAACATCTTTTCAGATTAAAAGGGTCAATAAAATGCCTTTTAATAAAATTGGTTAACTGGAAAAAGTGCTAACAGACTCCTCCTGATTTTCTGGGGGAGGAAAGGAGGAGGCTGTGCTCATCTGCACCCATTCACACTCCCATCTTCTTTCAAATCTGCCTCCCCCAGCCCCACCACCCTCTCTCCCTCCCTCAAGCCAGCCCAGGCCAGCCCACTGGCCTGAAGTGGCAAAAAGCTGGCAAGCAGCCCAGCCTTGACAGATTTCCTAATCTCCTGGGCCCAGAGCCAGTCAGTCTCAGGCCAGTTGCTCAGGAGTTCCAAACTGCCCCCTGGGCTGCACTGCACTGCACAGCCAGAGAAACCTCAGCTCCGTGCTGGAAATGCACCCCCAGACTCTGTCCCCAGCCCTGCAATTTGGAAGAGCTTGTGAAGCTCCTTGAAGAACTGATCCTACTTGGAACCAGCATACTCAGTAACCCAGGAGACCATACCGGAGGCTAGCTTACAAGTGCAGATATTGGGAAGCAAGAGTCTGGGTGGTGGGGTGGGGGGTGTCTCATGATGAGGAGGAGCCTCACATGACTCTGTAGATTTGGTAGATAAAAGAAGGAAAGGATCGTCCAGCCAGAGCCAAGAGCAAAGGGGGCCTCGCACGGATGGCGTTGTCGAGGTCATTCCACAACTGTAACCCCGTGGTCTTTCCGTCTAGAAGGAAAGGGTTTAGTTTTACTAAAATATCGGTTCCCTGTCTACCCGTCTAATGGACGGAAAAGGTTAAGTGGGAGAAGACCCCTCCACAAAGAGAGAGAGAAAGAGAGAGACCATAGGATATATCTTTCGGGCAAAAGTTTTAGAAAAAGACGAAACACTATTCTTTTCCAATATAATCTCGGCAGCAATATTTATTTGGTGTTTTTAAATATTCAGAACATTTCATTACCTCAATACATTCTTGGAATGGTAGCCCAGGCCATTCCCATATTGGCCCAAAGGGGTGAGATTGTTGAGATTCCAGACTGCCTAAACGAGGAAATCTAGTCTTAACATGGTCAGGAAAAGAACCACATTGCGTCTTCTGGAGTCAGGTGAAAGGTGGGTCACTTGGTCTGCTGCTCGCACAGCTTCCCTTGATAGGAATGCCAGGACATCCGTTCCCCTGTTGCATCTCCTCCTTGCTGGCATTTTAGAAACCAAGAGGAAGAAAACAGGTGGAGAAGGACCTGACCTGGGCCGGTTTCTAGTAACTGCCCATTCTGGCCCAAGTGGCCAGCTGCCAGACCACATGGCAGGAGCCGTCTAGTTCAGGCCAGGCCAGTGAGGTTCTCAAGAAAGCTCACTTGGAGGACTGGCTGCTACTTCTTTCTTGGCCTCTCCTTCCTCAGGGCGCTTTGGGAAACCAACTCAACTGTGGGGTCCTAGATCATCTTTTGCTACAGATGATCGCAAGGGACTATCTGTTTCTCAGGTTTTCTGTGGACATAATAGTCTTCCACATCTTGGTTATTCAAAGCATTTTTCCTGTCTCAGATCAACACCAAAACAACTGCAATTAAATTACAATTAAAGGACTCCCTGCAACTGATTTACTATTGCAGGATCTTATTCCACTCTGCCTTATTTCTGCTCCATGTATATGCACATGGTCTGGGGACCACCAGCCCAATGATGAGGTGTTTCCTTCAGTGCTCTAAGATGCAACGCAGCAGCCCTGGAGTTTTAAAGTGTTTAGAGATTTCCTGATTAGATTTCTGTCAAGATGAATTTACAACCCTGTTTCCTCAACCTAGAAATGGCAGCCTCTTCTCACACAACAGGTCCACTAAAGGGGCCAAGGGTTCTGCCTTTTCTTTGCTCTCTGTTGGCCTTGCTTGGGCTCCATTGGTTTTGACTCTGCTTCTTCTTGCATTGCCAGCAAACCCTTTTCTTCTTTTGAGCATCCTCTGCTCCCTTCAACTCATTCTGAGCACCAGAACTTTCTAACAACCTCTCTAAAATTCTGGACCTTCCCGCTGTACTTGTGATTCTTTCTCCAGAATGTGCCCTCTTCTGTTCTGCTTCTTTGGCTGTCTTCCCTTGGTTCTCATTTGGAATAGTCTTTTAGCATCTCTTTGTTAAATAACTTCTGTCCACCTTGCGCTCATCTTCTCATTTACATCTAATTGTTCTGTATGGATTAAAACCCACTTTCTGGTAGACATGCTTTCAAGATGAGTTTGATTTCCTTAGGAGAATCTTCCTTACATGGTTCCCTATCCTAATATTACTGCGGCATCCACTTGGCCTAGTAAGATTTCCTGACTGAGTCAGGTAAAGCAAGGGTAGCTAAAGTTCATGTGCTTTCTTCTACCTTCTGAGAGAGAAAATGCCAGCAAAATAGTAAGTTGGGGATTTCCTTAAAGGGCCATGCTTGGCAGAGTTTGCCTGCTAACACATGTTAGGGCAGTTAAAGTCTCCCATTATTACCACTTCATGTCTCTGGAAAGATCTTTGCTTTTGGTAATCACTTCCATACTTTTTCCGTAGTTGAATTGTCAGTAGTAGATAGCAAGTATAAGCATTGCTTTTATTCACTGTTCCGCATGCTTTAAACAATGTACTTTCAACAGCACCAACAAGTGCTTTCCCTTGAGTTGAACTGTAGATTTTATAGTTCAGCTGCTGCTGCTCCCCCTCCTCCTCCTCCTCTCTTTCTGTAACTTCTTTTCAAGAAGATTCATTTCTTCCTTCTCAATCATGAGAGCCATCCTACCAGCTCTCCAAATATGATCTCATTTGATCATATTTCCCATATTGTGATGGATAATGCCATGAGCTGGGTTAATATTCTTGATCGTTCATTGTGTAATAGGAAGAGATAGTTATATAATTATGCTGTCTCCTTTATTTCTGCAGGATACAAATCCTTATTTCAAATTCTTCTGGAGTTTTATCTCCAATCTTAATAAGGCAACCTTGGAAGTTGTAGATACTCCATCACTGGAAGTTTTCAAGGAGAGGTTGGACAGCCATTTGTCCGGAATGGTTTACTGTCTCCTGCTTGAGCAGGGGATTGGACTAGAACAGGGGTAGGCAACCTTGGCTTTTTTATGACTTGTGGACTTCAACTCCCAGAATTCTTGAGCCAGCCATGCTAGCTCAGGAATTCTGGGAGTTGAAGTCCACGAGTCATAAAAGAGCCAAGGTTGCCTACCCCTGGACTAGAAGGTTCCTCCCAATCATATGTCCTAGGATTCAATAGAAAGGCTTCTTCATCAACATGGAAAAGCTTCTATGGTCCCTTCTCTCCCTGCTCATCCTTTCTCCCTGGCCTTCCACTCCTCCTCCTCTTCCTCCTCTTTCTACAGCCCATAAGTATTTATCTAAGGTTTTTAGTTGGAGTTGTACCTCAAAAGATTAAACCTAAAATTCTCCTGATTAGGGTCACCGCACTTCACCACACATTTCTAACTACTCCTTGTGCCCCGCAGCCAATCGTTCAAGACAGTGGCTCCTGAAAACAAACCTCTCCTGTCCATGGCCTTTGTCTAACCGCTCAGTTTAACTGGCAATTTCCCTTTTCCTGAATGAGAAACCACCTGAAACCCCAGAATATTGATTTCCTTCCAGAATCCACAATGATGCAGTTATAGCTGTTACTGCAGAATCATCTGTCCCCATATAGAATAGCAGAAAGGGGAAATTGACAGTCAGCTTGATAAATCTTGGAAATTGTTCTGTCACATTGCTAATCTGTGCTCCTGAGAGACAAACTTGTTTCATGAGACACTGGGCTTATTGTCATCTTTCATTTTTATTCCACATTGAAGGGAATCAGCAGCTTCCAGGTATGCCGTTTTGCAGGATGAATTGTGACTCCTTCTGCCCTTCAGGGACCCACTCTCCTGACTCCCTTTCCAGAATCTCTTTCCTCCACTGAAGATTGACAACCTCTTTTTTTTGGTTAGGGTTTGAATTTGATTCTGAGTTCCAGGCTTAGAAAATACTTTCTCCATTTCTCATTTCCGGCTGTCCTTCTTGTCTCTTTTTTACAGGTGCACGCGTGCGCACATACACACCAGTTCCTGTTATTATACTCCTTTTATTTCATCCAGCATGCCTTTGCTCTTTATCATGTCACTCACTGTTCCCAGCTGTCTTTTCCTTCAGGCACCGGAGCCTGCATTTGCTGCAAAGGACTCCTTAGTTGTGCTCAGAAGTTGGAGATGCACACCATAAGTCTTGCAAGTCTCCTTTTAGAGTGTCCTCCCTCTATTTTCTCTTGGGCTGAGGAAATGGGTTTTCTCAAGGCATAGCAAGAGGAGCGCTGTTTCCTCCCCCTGGCTCCCGTTCATGCTTCGCACAGCCCCCCCCTTTTCCCCAAAGCTCTAGATCTATAAATACCCTTATGTGTCCTCTGGTACAGGCACAACTGCTGGCTGAAGCGTTACCAAGTAGATTAAAGGTGCTAGTCCTGTTGATCCTTGGTTTGGGAAGCTGTCCCTGTGCAAGCATGGAGGCATTTGGAAGTGAGCAGAAGACATGCAGCCCCCTGTCCTTTCATCAATTCAGAGATCAGTTCTGATTTAAGATCAGAAAGAACGGCAGATCTTTTGCAGGATAAGGCCCTGCACACATTGGCATAGACGTGTGCTATGATTTGCTGCCCTTCACGTAATCAGCATGTGCCAGTGAGAAGAGCTATATTTAGATGAGAAAACCCTCATCTCCTTGGCCTCATCTGCAATGTTTCCAGGGTGCTGCTGAAACTGTATCCAGCAGGATGCCCTTGAAGCAGGCAAGCCAGATTGTGTGTGTGTGTGTGGGGTGGGGGGGGGGAACAGAGGTAATTGGAAGCTCCCCAGTGCAAAAGCCTGGCTGATCAGCATCTCAAGAGCCATTGGCATGACCTGGCACACTTCCAGGGAGCTCTGCCATCCTTTGGCATAGCTCTATCCCTTAGTTCCCCCCAAACTGCTGAGTGCTCTGTCTGATAGCAGGTGGGGTCCACGCAAAGCTCCGACGTCTCTTGTGTGGGTCCAGGTGACATTTCTAGGCCCAGCAAAGGGAGCCACGATCTGCTCTTCGCTGTCTCTGTCGCACTTTCTTTCTCAGCCCAGAACACAAAGGCCTCGGGAGGGAAAAGGCGGAGATGCATCGGGAGGGTGATCCAAGTGTTATGGAAAAGGAAACTGGTCCCAAGCCATTAATCAGGCAGAGCAAAGCCCAGGTAACCTGAGCACTTGCTGACTGGGTGGAAATCCCTCTCTGGGACTCCTCTGGGACGTCCACAGGGCTGCGCTCAGTTAGAATGTGGCCGTTATCCTTCCAAGCTGCCTCTTGACCTATTTTGGCAAAGATGCCGACACCCCTATTCTGCCTATTTACAAGCTCAGGAACGTGGGGTGAGCCGTGCTAGGTGGAGCAATTGCCCAGAGCAGCCTCAACCTGGCAAGGGAGGCCCCTGTGTGCTCACCGCCTGGCAGCCCCGACCACTGTGGGAGCTGGGGGTCGATCTCTGCCTGCCAGGATCTCCCCCCAGGTTGCATTTGGGGTCTGCACTGATTAGAGCTGTGGAAGCAGAAGGGGGCAGCTCAGTGCTTCCTTACTTGTTTCCCCACTTAATCGATTGGATCTGTGGCTATCCAGAATATTCCGTTTCCTAGGAGACTGTAGAAAGGAGAGCAAATGAACTGCAAGAACTCTTTTGCTGGGCTAGAAGCTTCCCTGATGAAAATTAACACAACAAGAATAAATGCCAAAGGAAGCTAAAAATAGCCTGTCCTGAGTCTGCTCAGCTCCTCGACAAGGCAGCCTGAAACAAACCGGGGCCTCCCCCCTCTGTTTGGCTGAGACCGAACACCAGGGCTTATCCAACAGGCTGACAGGTCCATGAAGTCTAGAATTAAAGCAATAATTAATATCCGATCAAAGCTATTTATTAACAACTATTAAAGGCTCACAGCATACAGTGCAGTCACGTAACCGTTTGGTATTCGGTGGTAGAACTGCAGTTTATAGGTCAATAGCTCTTCAGCTAATGCATCTTAATGGCATTGGGCAATACCCAAGACATCAAAGAAGATGACGTGCTAAAAGGCCTCTCCGAGATCCACAGCAGTTGCCTCTAAGTTCCCTTTCAGACCTTCCATCCTGATGCCGGTGCAGGAATCCTCTCTGCACCGCAGAGACTCCACACCCCTCAGGGCAGCCTCTTCCACGGTGCAACAACTCTTAACCTCAGGATGTTCTTGCTCATGTTCCACCAAAATCTCTTCCCTTGTACTTTCTGATCCTCTCCCTGGGAACAACTTTGTGCTCCATCTTGTGACACGTCTCTCCCCAAAGTCCTCCATCCTGCAGTCAAGGCTGAGCCCTGCCCTTCAGTCGTTCCTCATAAGTGACTCCTTCCAAGTCCCTGGTCATCTTGGTTGCTTTAATCTGACTTGTGCCAATTTTTCAGTGGAAATCCTTCATGACCAACACAGCCTGTAGAAAAAAAATATGAGTTGTTTTGATGTTTTTGTTGAAGTAGCCCAGGATTGCATCTGGCGGTTGGTTGGGTAGTTTTCCCAACTACATCAAACTGTTAGCTCATATTCAGCTTAGGCTTCAGCAAGGCACAAGATCCTTTCTACATATATTGTTGCCTGCTGTGATTTTCCCTAACCTAACCTATAACCCAGACCCTTGATTTTTTCCTAACCAGAAGTAAAAATTTGCTTTATCTCTGTTGAAATTCATCTTGTTGGGAAGGGAAGCATGCAGGTGAGGCTTGGACTAGGTTGTTCAACATCTTCAAGGCCAGCCATCCTGAGAATGGCATGCATGAGGGCGGTGGGGAGCATCTGGACCAGAGACGTTTCCAAAACATCTTCCTAGCCGATGATTGGACTCCGTCTGCCTGACTATTGGGTGGTGGGTTATTTTCAATTTGTCTTTTTCGTGTGTGTTGGCTTCAGACCTTGCCTGACTTTTGCTGCATTCTGTTCTTTCTTAGTAAAAGTTCCTTTTCTCTGAATCTATGGAGCCAAGGGTTTTCTTTCCTAGGAATTGATCGGAGGCAACTCTGACACTTATTGTGATTCTGATTTTTAGTTCGTTGGTTTTAATGTTACATTCTATACATTTTATTATTTAAGCCATCTTGAATCTTTGCGAAGAAAAAGATGGGGCGGTATGAATGTAATAATAAATAACAGAAAGACCATTTCTCTTTATTTTTATAGCATTATTTTACGGTTAACTTCAATCATGAGAACCAGAAAACTCTGGAGCTTAGAACCGAGGATGCCAAGGATTGTGATGAGTGGGTAGCAGCTATCAGTCGTGCCAGGTAAGGACCTCTGGCAGAAATGCCTCCCCAGGACAGCTCCTGACAGGCTGAGCCTGATGGAGGGAGAGCAGCTGGAGGGAAGGGCTGCCTTGCTCCTTCCCATTATCTGAGGGCCCGGTGGGGGAGGGAGCACGCAGGGGGCTTCCTTCTTTCATGGGCTGCCCACAAGCAGCCACTCTGAGGCTGCCAGGATGGCAAAAGAATTCTTGGTTTGTTTTTTTTAATAGTTTTAAGGCTTTTATAATCAATAATGATAGTGGTTTTACATAGAATAGAATAGAATAGAATAGAATAGAATAGAATAGAATAGAATAGAATAGAGCCGTACGTTCGGCAGAGTTGCTTTCATTTGGATTCCTGCACAAAATAGGGGGCTGCATCTGAGGGCCTCAAAGGTTGCTTCCAATCCAACTGTCCCCAAATCCTATGATTCCGTAAAACTTCTTAGCAATAGCAGTTCTTCAGAAAAGAGGTTGGAAGCGAATTAGCAGGTTGAAAATAATTTGCTCCACAGGAAGAGCCTGGCCCGGGAGCCCACTGTGGCTGTGCAGTGAGGCTGGGGGCATCACGAACGTCAGGCCTGGAGGGGTTTTGGAGCTGGCAGAAAGGAGGACAACTTTTAACAGCTCCTGTCTCTTCTCTGCCGTCTCTTCCCACAGTTACGGGACTCTCGCCACAGAGCACGAAGCCTTAATGCAGAAGTACCTCCATTTACTTCAGATTGTGGAGACCGAAAAAACAGTTGCCAAGCAACTCAGGCAACAAATTGAAGATGGAGAAATAGAGACAGAGCGCCTGAAATCAGAGGTAGGGAGCCCAGCCTCAAAACGTGCTGCCAGCAGCTCGAAGTGTGAGGGAATTGGGTATGTGGCTATTTTGAGCGCCATTCCGTCATGCCGCCTGCTTCGCGTGCAGGGGCCCTGGCCAAATGCCTCCAAGCGCCTGGCCTCCTGCCAGAGAGAGGGTTCCTGATGCACAGGTGAGGCAAATGGTGAGCCGATCCTGAACAGGCACCTGGGGAGGCACTTAGTGGGTCACGAGACTCCATGACTTGGAGTTCCTGGGACAGGGAACTTCCTGTGTTGAAAGCCATTGTGCCCCAATTGGTTTTGATTGGAAAAACCCTCTCTGTGGAGCTCCTGAGACCTAAGGGCAGACATGGTATCCGTGGATAGCAAAAAACTGCAGTATTTGTCTGGAAGAGAATAGAGTACAATTCTGGCAGAAGGACAAAAATTGTACATCAAGGGATTTTGGAAAAATCTGGCTCCATAATATCTGGAAATGTCCTTTGCCTGTATTCTGACGGCTTAGGCTGTAAAGCCTCTTTAAGCCCGGAAGTCCACAGTAGGAGACTCTAGGAAAGTGTGACAGTTATTTAAAAAGGCCAAGCAAACCATAATCTCAACCTTTTTGATTGATTATGGAGCTTCTGCATTCAAATGTTTGTTGCACTTCCATTTGTGCTCTTTGAAGTGCAGATCAAATGGCCCTTTATACGCATATGCAAATACCGACGATTGCATTGATTGTGTTGGAGTTGGGCTGTTTTGTTCCCAAGATGATTTATTTGGACAGCTCTAAATAGGCTGCCCTGGGTGCTCCCCAAAAGGCCAGGTGAGTCTTCCAGGGGCCGAGCTCTGGGCAAGGCTTGCCTGGGCAGTTTGTTTCATCTCTGGGATGGGGGCATTGAGGGCTGTCAGAGGCACCCAAGAGAAAACGGAGGCGACCGCTGCCTGTTTAGCAAGACAGAGAAGGCCTCTGTTTAAGCTCTGTGTGTGTGAACAAGGGACTGAGCCCACATCTCAGCTGGAACACCAGGCCCGTGGAGAGGTTTATGGAAGCTGTTCCATGCACCCTGGTTTCTCCTCCTTCCACAGTAAATCTGCTTTGCTCGCCCCTGAGCATTTGCTGCTGGGTGGAAGAAGGACTCAGAAGCAGGGAGGTCAAAGTGCAGAATTGCCTCAGCGCCACAACTCCTACACATGCTCCTAATATAAGCCCTACCCCCAAAATAAGCCTGGGGGTGTGCCCGAGGAAGGCAGCCCAGCGGCGTCCGGGCTTCGCTGCCCTCCTTGCCTGAGCCTGTTTCTGCTTTTCTCTGTCCCGGCAGATGGCCGCCTTACTTAAGGAGCACGAGCGCATCCAGGCCAACCAGGCCAACGTGCCAAACGACGATGACATCGACATCAAGAAGATCAAGAAGGTGAGGAGCCACTTTTGCCCTCAGCTCCATCACGGGGGTGGAGGAAAAGCCCATGTTCAGACCTGTGAGAAGAAGTCTCCTTGCCCACTCCTGAAGGCCTCTTTCCTTCCCTCAGGGCCGGAAGGGAACCCCCCCTCCCCAGCATATTGCTGGAAGACTTGAGTGTTCATTCATCCTAAGACATGAGCCCCTCCCCTGCCAGCTCCTCCTGATCAGTCACACTATTCCAAGTCACATCCTCAGTCCAGGGACTCAGCCACCAGGCCCCCGGCCCCGAAGTGAGCCTCAGGAGCATTTCTTGGGTTCAGGGCTTCACCTTGCTCTGCATCCATTCAAAGACAGCCCACTTTTGGCCATCTTCCCTACTAGAATCTCATCTTTGAGGAGCGCTTTTACCCAGCCCTTTTGGACATGGTCTTGCAACTCTTCATTCAGGGAGACTGGGCTGTCATAAATACGAGCCAGTTGCCAAGTGTCTGAATTTTTGTAATACACTAAATGAACTGTTGTAAGTTGAAGACTACCTGTATACGCTTAAATATGGTTCAGATAAAGGAGCATTAACCATCGCAGAACCATAAACTGCACCAAAACAGTTGATGAAAATAATGCAAGACTTTGGAGAATCAATGTTCAAAAGCCAAAAATAATTTCAAGACATTGAACACAAGATTTCCCATGGAAGGATCTGACTGCCAGATAATAGATCCAGGGAAGGATCTGGGATTGCGTTTGACAGGCAATAATCTGGAATCTCCTCTCTGAAAACAGGTCCAGAGTTTCCTCCGGGGGTGGCTATGCAGAAGGAAGTGGAAGACCATCATCCAGGATTACATCCGCTCCCCTCACGCGGACAGCATGCGGAAGAGGAACCAGGTGGTCTTCAGCATGTTGGAAGCCGAAGCCGAGTACGTGCAGCAGTTGCACATCCTCGTCAACAACTTTCTGCGCCCACTGAGGATGGCGGCCAGTTCTAAAAAGCCCTCCATCACGCATGATGATGTCAGCAGCATCTTCCTGAACAGGTGAGTAGGAAGGAGTCTGGCTAAGGAAAGCCACTGCTTTCACCCTTGCTCATAAATGCCATCAGACCGCTGGGGGCCTGCCTTCCGGTCAGTGCCCTGCCTCATGCCTTTTAAAACAGGTGAGGGAACCTGGGGTGGGAGGGGCTTGGCCTAAGGGGGACAGTTTCTTTCTCAGGAATCTAGGAGCAGGGAATCGAGATTGAGCAGAAAAGGGGTGGAATTCAACTTGTGTCTTCCAAGTCTCTTTGGAGGCCATAGCTGAGCTTTTGGGAGAGACGGGGGGGGGGGGGGAGAAGGAGACGTAGCCACGTAATTCCCTTCATAGGATCTCTAAGGCGTTCTCTCTTAAGAAGGTCTAGACTTCTACTCTCTCATTCCCAAGGTGACAGGTTGTGAAATCACGGATTTGGGTTCAGGAAAGGCAGATTCCAGTTGCGCTTCCTTAACAAACAAGCAAATGTCTATGAAGATTCTCAGTCATCCAGGTCATAGTCTCGTGAAAAAGCAGCTTTGGGATGACAAATTCATAAGCGGGTGATGCTCCCCCATGATTGGCTGCTCTCTCAGACTTTAAGATTTGGTGATCATTTTCCTTTGATTCAGAAGACCAATGCAGAGAGCTGGTTGAGGAAAAACTCAGCATGCGTCTCCTCCTCCTCTGCTGTGCACTATGGAACAGCCTCTGGGCAATTAACATTTTCTTCCCAGCAAAATGAGTATTCACAGGTGATAAGCCAAACACACTTGCCCCCTCCTCCAGTGCCAGGTTTTCAGTTCCTAACTTCCTGGTCCGTATTTCTTTCTTTTTTAGTGAAACCATCATGTTTTTACACCAGATCTTTTACCAGGGCTTAAAAGCACGCATCTCTAGCTGGCCAACCTTGGTGCTTGGTGAGTGTAAAGAAATTTGCTGTTTACCCAGTTTGAGATTAAACCAAACATGTGCTAGGGGTCTATTTTCCAGGCATCCAGAGGGGGTGGGGTGCCAGGCTGCCATTCCAGGCAAACTGAGTATTCTGAGTATCCCCTGGTTTGGGAAGGGAGATTCTTCCTGCCTCCAGCCAGAGGTGCAGCCAGGATCTGTTGTACTTTTCAGAGCTTAGATTTCCCCCCCATACTTGGGGCTACCTGCACCTTTTATTCAGCTACTTGGGCAACTACACACACACACACAGACACCTGTTTGCCACTGCTGAGTCAAAGCCCTTTCCATCCGTCCTTGGCTCAGATGCCGACATGAAGTTCACCGCTCTCCTGGCTGAGCTCCATCGTGCCTGTCTGGGCTGCACCTGAGCTGGTCCCTGCCAAATGTCACATCCAGACTTTGAATGTGCCGCATGTGATAAGCAATGTGGCTGCCCCCTCCCCACAATTTTGTGCCCAGGTTATCATCCACCCATCACAGTAATTCAGCAGGAGTATTGGGGAGCACCTCAAGGCTCCTTTGCAGGTCTCCCCCTCCCCCAGAATGCAATGGCCGAGCCCTCTGCCCTGCCATGGAGCTTCCCCCAGCAGTGGGACTCTGCCGCCCGCCTGGACCTGCCTCTCCCCCCTCAGCCGCTCACTGCTCGCTTGCCTTTGCCACAGCGGATCTCTTCGACATCCTCCTGCCAATGCTCAACATCTACCAGGAGTTTGTTCGGAACCACCAGTACAGCCTGCAGATCCTGGCCCACTGCAAGCAGAACCGGGATTTCGATAAGCTCTTGAAGCACTACGAGGCCAAGCCTGACTGTGAGGAGCGGACGCTGGAGACTTTCCTGACCTACCCCATGTTTCAGGTGAAGCTGTGGGGCACCAGGTCAACTTAGGCACTAACATGATGCACACCTGGAGAAAGCCCCATTTTGGGTCATTGTAAGGTGTCCTGGAAATGCCAAACTGAAGGCTGGACACAAATGACACAACCCTCTGAAGCTTGGGGGAGGCCCTTGCCTGGGCAAGCCAAAGCACCAACTCGGTCCCTGGTTCTCTTCTCTCTTGTGTCTCCACCAGATCCCCAGGTACATCCTGACCCTGCATGAGCTGCTGGCCCACACGCCCCACGAGCACGTCGAGAGGAACAGCCTGGACTACGCCAAGTCCAAGTTGGAGGAACTCTCCAGGTCAGAGGGGCTGATGGCTGCTTCACGGGGAGGGGGCAGCAGAATGCGGGCAGCAGGCCCCCTCGGTACCCATCACTGGGGGCCTTTTTCAGAGAAAGCCCTCCTGATCCATGTCCCCTTTGGTCCCACTTTTCTCAGCTGCACAAGGAAAGCTGGGGCAGATTCTGCTTGGTGAAGCAGCCTCTCAGGGAGGCTTTTATGGCACGAGGATCCATTTGAGTTTCCAGTCAGGGAAGGGTTGGTGCTCTGCCCTCCGGCTCTGAAACCGTTTACCCTGCCCAGAGTTTTGGTGCTGATCTTCATAAGGGCGTTTTATGCACACCAATGCAATAGCAGTCGTTCAAGAGCCGTCTCCTGACTGGTTCTCTCCAGATGGGTTGGACTACAGTGCCCATAACTGGCAGGCACTGGTCTTCCAGGAGCAAAGAGTCATTGTAGCTGGGGGGGGGGAGACTCAAGGCTGGTGAAGCCGATCCAAGAAATGGTCTCCCCACAATGTGAAGATCTTCATCATCTTTTTAAAAAATGCCGAATTTCTCACATTTTTGTATAATTATCACTTTGGGAAAAATAAGCAGCCATCTGCACTTAAGCAGAAACACAGAGTACAGGATGTGTGAAGCAGATAATGACAAGGCAACATATGTTATTTTAGAACTGCAGAGACGCTTCTTCCCAAATGCCTTTCAGGGAGAGAAAATGCTCTCTGGAGGACCTCAGAGGCGCTTATTTTATCAGTCCCCCATTGTCACCAGGCAAAGCTGAAGCTCAGCTCCCTCAAACAGCTGATGGCTCCTGCTTGCCCTTCATCTCTGGGCCCTCCCAGAGTGGCCCCCGTGCCCCCCCCCCAGGTTTCTCTTTGAGGCGAGTGCCCAGATGGGCTGCCGGCTTTTCCCCCAGGACAGGGCTAGGCAACCTTGGCTCCTTTATGACTCGTGGACTTCAACTCCCAGAATTCCTGAGCCAGCATTTATATTTTGTCCTCTCACTCTAAAAATTATCCCTTCTTTCCATTTTCTACTTTTTCTAATAATCAAATCCCAGGTTCATTCTTTCGGCTTTCAGCAAAAAGCATTCCATAAAATGTTTCCAATCTTTGACAAATGCCACTGTTGTCTTTTCCCTGATCAAACAAGTCAGTTTTGCCATCTCTGCCATTCTGCCGACTTCACCAGCCTTCCTCCCGTGGGGGCATTTTAGTCTTTCTGTTTTTGGCACAAAATAATCTCGCTGCAGCTGCCATGTATAAAAACCACCTTCAGAGGCCCTTTCGAGTTGAGCGTCCAGGAGTCCCAGCAAGAAAAGTCCTGGTTTCAGGCTGACTGGTCTCTTCCTGCGTAGGATAATGCACGACGAAGTGAGTGAAACAGAGAACATTCGGAAGAACTTGGCAATCGAGCGGATGATCACTGAAGGCTGCGAAATCCTCCTGGACACCAGCCAGACCTTCGTGAGACAAGGTAGCCCATGAGCCTTCTGGCCTCCAGACCTAAGAGCTGGAGATCCTCTAGGAAAGGGCAGCCCTGGAGGGAGCCCTGAGGGGGGCGGCTCAGCAGCTCCTCTTTCTCAGATAGCTCCGGGGCTGGTCCAGAGAAGTTCAAGGCTGGGAGATTCAGGACAAGAGTTATTAAAGTGGAAAAGCTGCCACGGCCATCGAGGAATGGCCCGGTTCCTTTCATGGGCTGCCTGTAACCATGCCCACCGATGACCTTGAAAGGATGAGTCACTGGGAACAGGCTCCCCAAGGCTACGTTAGGGATACTATAGCTTTCCTCTGAGAGGAAGCCAGCTTGATGCTGCTGCTGCTGGGAGACCCGGGAGGTTTTCAGTCCCGTTCTTCTCAGCTCCATCCCTGCAGGCCCCCTCTGGAAGCCCCTGGGCAGGGGTTTGGGCTGCGCAGGGTCCCCACCCCAGGCTGCCACCCTGGTCTGCTGTCTTTATGCGCTGCTGGAGAGGAGCCGGTGTCCCCGGGGCCAAGGGCTGTGACGGCAGGGCCTCTCCTCCCACAGGGTCCCTCATCCAAGTGCCGATGTCTGAGAAGGGGAAGGTGACGCGTGGACGGCTGGGCTCCCTGTCCCTGAGAAAGGAGGGGGAGAGGCAGTGCTTCCTCTTCTCCAAACACCTGATCATTTGCACCCGGGGCTCCGGAGGGAAGCTGCACTTGACGAAGGTGAGAGAGGCAGAGCATCCAGCAGCAGGTCGCTCTAGAGTATCTGGGGGGGGGGCATTGATCCGCAACCTCCCATATCGAAGGCCACACAATTTCTACAGCAGCTACTGCACAGGGAGGGGGACCCCCCACACACCGACTTGACTGGAGGGTACATGTGTGGCAACAGGATGCCGAGTGCGCCTGGTGGAGGGGGAATGAGCATTTCTCTCCTGTTGGGTGGAGGAGATGTAGCAGGAGGATCAGGGAGCAGAGAGGCTCTCACGAAAGGCCTCCCCTGTGCTTTCTCCAGAATGGCGGGGTGATTTCACTCATTGACTGCACGCTGGTGGAAGATACGGAAAGCACGGATGAGGACCGTATGTATCCCTGGAGCAGTCCCACTCTCCCGCCCGCCCCGCCTGGAACACAGCTTGTCCACCCAGCCCAGCTGGCATCTGGCCCTTAAGCACCACCACCACCACCACCCCCCTCGCTGCTCTTTCCTGGCTCCCTGCTGCCCTTTGCAGCACTGGGGTTCCCTGTCCCTCCCCATAAGCCGGGTCTGTTTAGGGCACTTATACACTTTCTCCTCCGTGGACGCTGGGGATGAGCATACCTGGGAGTAGGGACTTCAGAGACTCTCCTGTCCAAGCAGGAGAGGTGTGACCCAGGCCACGAGAGGGCTGTCTGACCACCACTCCCCCGAACCTATAAAGCAGGCAGCCAGGGAAAGCACAGCAGGCAGCTCTAAGAGAAGATCGACAGCCTTCACTGGCGTTTCCCATTGCTAAATGAAGGCTTTTAATGGGGTTTCTCACTTCAAAGAATGCCTCAGTTCATGACCCTGGGAGCTGATCTCAGAAGCAAAACACAAGCCTGGGGCTGCCGCAGGGAGGAGGGGATTATTTCTCCCCTGCTCCCTTCCTCCGAGCACCAGCTGCCTCATCCATCCCTCTCAGAATAGCAGAGTTGGAAGGGACCTCGGAGGTCTTCTAGTCCAACCCCCTGCTCAAGCAGGAAACCCTCTACCATTCCAGACAAGTGGCTGTCCAGTCTCGTCTTAAAAGCCTCCAATGATGGAACACCCACAACTTCTGGAGGGAAGCTGTTCCACTGGTTAATTGTTCTCACTGTCAGGAAATTTCTCCTTAATTCCAGGTTGCTTTGTTCCTTGATTAGTTTCCATCCATTGTTTCTTGTCCTGCCTTCAGGTGCTTTGGAAAATAGGTCAACCCCCTCTTCTTTGTGGCAGCCCCCCAAATATTGAAACAGTGCTGTCATGTCACCCCTACTCCTTCTTTTCACAAACCTAGCCATACCTAATTCCTGTAACTGTTTTAGCCTCCAGCCCCCTAATAATTTTTGTTGCTCTTCTCTGCACTCTTTCCACATCTTTTTTATATCATGGTGATCAAAACTGGATGCAATATTCCAAGTGTGGTCTCACCAAGGTTTTATAAAGTGGTATTAACACTTCATATGATCTTAATTAGATCCCTCTGTTAATGCAGCCAAAGACTGCATGGGTTTTTTTGGCGGCTGCCGCCCTCTGTTGGCTCATATTTTAAGTGATTGTCCACTAGGACTCCAAGATACCTCTTGCAGTTTCTGCTATCACACTCTTCCATTCTTGCACCAGCAGCCGTAAAAGGGTGGCTGCTGCGCATTGAAAGAGCTGCCCTTTCAGCCCCTAAGCAGGTGAAAAGGATTTTGCACCAAAATGAACATCCTGCTGCGCAAGCTGGAGGCTAAAGGCCCAGCCCAGCTTGTTCCCCTCCTTTCACTTACCCCCATTCTCTCTCTTCCCACGGTCACCTTCTTAAATTGTTTCTCTCCTTCCTCAAATAAAAGAAAAGGGATCTGGGCAAGATACGGAGCACCTTGACTTCAAGATCGTGGTGGAGCCTAAAGACACTGCCCCCTACACCATTATCCTGGTGGCATCATCCAGGCAAGAAAAGGCTGCATGGACCAGCGATATCAGCCAGGTAAGAACAGTTTCACCATGAAGAACCAACACTTTCTGGCCAGGCAGCGTTAGGGATGTTAGGACCTGGGGCTGTAGAAGAGCCCTTCACTGTTTTTCAACATGCAAGGCATCCCTGGACTAAATCAAAGATGAATAAGCACATTTGGAAGAGGAAGTAGTTGCCAAACGAGCCAATGTCTACAAGAGACACACACGTCTCCCAAAGATCCATTGGGAAAATTAGCAGAGCACAACTGGTACCCTTCCCATCAGTCCTGCTTCCTGAAACCTCTTTTCCCTGTTTCAGTGTGTAGACAACATCCGATGCAACGGCCTCATGATGAACGCCTTTGAAGAAAATTCAAAAGTTTCTGTTCCGCAGATGATCAAGTAAGGAATGCAGTTGTGTTTGTCCAGAACTGCTGGGGGCATTTTTAGTGCTACCCCTAATTTAAAAAGGCTTCCTGCCAGCAAAGCCATCGATAACACGGGGAGTTGGTACCACAACTTATTCTGGGTCAAGTGCTGTGTATTGAATAGCACAGTGCGGACAGTGCTCCAGAACTGTGCGAGGACAAGGCAAAAACTGCACAATCGGGCTCACCTGTGGCGCGTGTATCTTTTCAGGCAACGGAGATGCTCGCCGGTGTCTCACTGGCCTGAACCTCTGAGAACTGAATACTGGACGGGATGTTTTGGCTGGAGCCAAAAGTCTTTTAGAATAACAGAGCTGGAGGTCACTTGAAATTATATCAATTCCACTAGCAAGTAAATGCAGTTTAAAAGAAATAAATGAATTAACTATATCTGGATGGTTATCTGTTATTTAATAACATTGTAAATCACTTTGGGATTTTCTGTAATAAAAAATAGCGTGGACTCATTTCAAAACGGCGGTGACCTCTTCTGAATGCTGAGGTTGCTGAGCCACAGCATCCCAGCCAGCGTCCTCTCCAGCCCTGGGACGTTCAGGCCAGTGAGACACTGAGGAGCTCCTGGCTGCCTGAAAAGATACAATTGCCACAGAGGAGCCTGATTTCCTGCGCTTCCTCCCTCCGTCCCTCTCAATTCTCCAGGTCAGACACCAGCCTGTACTGTGACGACGTTGACATTCGGTTCAGCAAGACCATGAACTCCTGCAAGGTCCTCCAGATCCGCTATGCCAGTGTGGGGCGTCTCCTGGAAAGACTGACAGACCTGAGATTCCTCAGCATTGACTTTCTCAACACCTTCCTGCACTCTTACCGGGTCTTCACCACAGCTATGACTGTGTTGGACAAGCTGATCACCATCTACAAGAAACCCATCAGTGCAATTCCTGCCAGGTGAGCCTTTGTCAGCCAAGTAGGGGAAGCTCAAAATAGGGAAATGAGGTGGGTTGCAGAACCCAGGTGGGGCCACCTGAAATGCCTCTTTGCCTAGAAATCCTAAAGCAACGAGAGAGAAAGAGAGGGAGGGGAGAGGGAGGGAGGGAGAGATTAGCTTTATTCTGGTCTAGGGGACATTTTATAGGCTTTGCAACGTAGAGGAGGAAGGAGACGCCCCCATGATAGCTTTATCCCTGGATATCTTCCGCCAGGTCCCTGGAACTTTTGTTTGCCAGCAGCCAGAACACGAAACTCCTCTACGGAGAACCACCCAAGTCTCCACGTGCCAACCGGAAGTTTTCCTCCCCTCCCCCCCTGTCCATCACCAAGTCATCCTCACCAAGCCGGAGGAGAAAGTTGTCCTTGAACATTCCCATTATCACAGGAGGGAAAGCCCTGGAGCTGGCCGCCCTGAGCTGCTCTTCCAACGGTTATGCAAGCATGTATTCCTCCACCATGTCGCCGTTCAGCAAAACCACCCTGGACATCAACAAGCTTTACGTGTCCAGCAGCTACTCCAATAAAATATCCGATGAGGGAGAAGGGAGCACAGACAAGGCAGAGGAAGCACTTCTGAGCAAGACAGGTGAGCACCTTCTGGCAGGGAGGAGCAAAAGGTGGTCAGGAGCCACGTGGAGGAAGCCCCAAGAGCAGCTCAGGGGGAGGAGTTAGTGGAAAGGTGCCAGGTGGGTGGGTAGACGTGGCAGTGAGACTTCACGCCCCCCCCAAAAAAATCTCAGGAGACGGGCCAGCCTGGGAAGAGGTTTGGGGCCACCTTCTCCAGTGCAGGCCTGGGCATCACACAGCTTTGGATTCCTGGTGCTGTTTTCTGCATTGGGTTAATTTTGGATGAAGAAATCTGACAGACCCAAGCGAATGGCTTCTATCCCCCATACCTGGGTGAATCTGTTGAAAGCAGAGAGGGGCTGACAGGTATGGAACCTTTAGCTACCTTCCCTTCAAAGCCTCCTCCTCCTCCTCCTCCCCTCACAACATTTGGGAGAAAGGTCATAAAGCTGCTTCTTTTGCCAGGCTCCGAAGAGTCTCCCCGAGAAGATTCTGCCTTTGAGGCAGCCCCAAGTGAGGAGGCAGACCCAGAGGCATCACCCACCAAGTCTCCAACAACACCCAAACTGGTCAGAGGCAAGAACTCTTCAGGTAAACTCACTGTGGGGAAGGGGGGGATGGCCAAGAGAAGCCATCTGCCCTCTTGGCAGGAGACCACACTGGGGTGTTCTGGTGCACCACAGCAGGGAGCATCTGTGGGTGATGCTGGTCCTGGCCTCTGTGGGGGTGCAAAGGGTCAACATTAGCCTTTGTGCGCTGCTCTTTTCCCAAGCGGACAGGCCTTCTGGTCCTCTCGGGGAAGCCCAGGGGAGGGACTTGCTGGACGGGATCAGTCCTGCTGAATTGCCTCCCCCCAACCCCAACCCCCGTGCAGAGTTCCCTTTGTTCTCCTACAACAATGGAGTGGTGATGACTTCTTGCCGAGAGTTGGAGAACAGCCGCAGCAGCGCTCTCTCGGCCGCCTCTGCGTTCGCCATTGCCACTGCCGGAGCCAACGAGGGTACCCCGACCAAAGAGAAGTACCGCAGAATGTCGTTGGCCAGCCCAGGTGGGAGAAGAGGAAGGGTCCTCTGGGCCGGGTGGTTCCTCCCCTTCCCGGGCCCCGCAGACCTTCCAGGGAGCCTTGGAAGAGCTGCTGCCTGCAGGAGGAGGCAAGGCAATGGCTGGGGCCATCTTCCAGGGCAGGGTCAGGCTGGCCACTACAGGCCTCCTGCTGACCCTGCCTGGGCCCCAGAGAGCCCGACTCTCGGGTGGGTTTCCAGGCTGACTCTCTCTCGCCCTGCAGGCTTCCCTTCTGACCAAAGGAACAGTGACAAAGAGTTCGTGATCAGGAGGGCGGCAACCAACCGGGTGCTCAACGTCCTGAGGCACTGGGTCTCCAAGCATGCCCAGGTACGGCCCGGCCGGCAAAGAAAGCCCTGGGCTGAAGGGGGCTGTGCTTGCCTGGCCAGCCGGCCTCATTGTGGCTTGTGGAAAATATCTCTTTGATAGGACTTTGAAACCAACGAGGAACTCAAGTATAAAGTGATCAGCTTTCTGGAGGAAGTGATACACGACCCAGAACTCCTGACTCAAGAGAGAAAAGCCGCCGGCAACATCATAAGGCAGGTCACGCGGGTCGTCATCTGACTCCTGCCAGAGACGGGGGGGTCCTAATCCAAGCCGGGGACGGGACTGGGTGGGACCCGGATGGCCCCGAGTGCTGCCGTTAGCTCAGGGCAAGCGGCTGGTCCCGTGGCCTGACTTTCTGATGCAAAGGAGAAGGTTTTTGAGGCGGCTTCATCTTCCTTTGCTTTGAGGGAACAGACTCCCGTGATCTCTGTCCCCTGAGGCCCTGGGTGGAGACGCTGAGAGCCACACAGGCCCTCCCCAGAATACGCTGAAGCCATTAACTCCCAGCTGTTGCCACTGGAAACTCACTGCTGCAATTCTCCATTTCTACTTGTCTGCCAGGACCCTGACCCAGGATGACCCCGGAGACAACCAGATCACCCTGGAAGAGATCCTGCAAATGGTAATGTCTTCTGGGTCCCCAAGTGGGTCACAAAGAAGCCTGGGCTGGTTGGCTGGTTGGCTGGTTGGCTGGTTGGTTGGTTGGTTGGTTGGTTGGTTGGTTGGTTGTTGGTTGGTTAGTTAGTTAGTTAGTTAGTTATGTCCTGTCTTTATTATATTTGCAAATTACTCAAGGCTAACTGGGCAGGGGTCTCAGCCGTCAGGGAGGGGTTAAGGGGGCAGGTCAGATGGGCATTCCCTTCCCCCTCCTTCCTGCCCCAATATGCCCCTGCTAGCCTGCCAGGATAAAGGCAGCTGGGGGGGGGCTTTTGGGGTGGAGAGTTCTCCTGGACACAGCGTGCATTTCACCTCTTAATCCACTCCCCCCCACGCCCCCCCCAATGAATACCTGGCGCTGCTTCCTTCATGTACGGTCTGGGGTGTTCTGGGAGGTGAAGAGGTGTGGTTGGAGCTGCTGCCTGTGCACTGGGGTGTCCTACCAGAAAGTCCTAGCCTGGCGTGACCCCCTTCCCTCCCCAAGAACAGGAAGAGGCTGCGTCCGGCAGGATCCGCCTCCCTCTGGCCCAGTGTATTCTTTTGCTTCGCCTTCATTTGGGGACCCCCATCCAAGCAGCCCTTCTTTTCCCCTTTCAGGCTATGGGGGTCAAGGCTGAACCCTTTGAAAATCACTCGGCTTTAGAAATAGCTGAGCAGCTCACCTTATTGGATCACCTGGTCTTCAAAACAATACCCTATGAGTGAGTACTGAGCCCTTTGACATGTATGTGGAAGTGCAGCCAAGCTGAAGAACGTGGAATTGCATTCAGCCAGGGGGCTCCTGTGGCTGATTTTGCAAATACAGGTCTAAACAAAGATGAAGATGATTGTGTCGTAGACACACCATTTCCTAGACAACTGTCACCCCCATCACATCCACGGGGCTTGTGGGAGTAAGTCTGCTTCTCCCCTCCCTCCACTTGCAAAGACCTTAAAAGGAGACATCCACATGGAGGGCCTTTCCTCAAGTACTTCCTGTGCAGGACAGGGTGGGCCAGGCAGGGAGAAATTCTGGAGAGGGCCCAGCTCACCCTGAGACCTCTTGTTTTTCAGAGAATTCTTTGGACAAGGATGGATGAAGATGGAAAAGAACGAGCGAACACCCTATATCCTGATGAACACAAAGCACTTCAATGATGTGAGTGCCACTGCTGTGGGTCCAAGTCTCAGAGGAGTTTTGCAAGGGCAGCTCAGAATTCAGGACACAGACTTTGCCCTTGTGCAGAACATGCAGTAACAGGGACTCTTGTTCCTCTTGCTTGTCCAGACTCACCTCATCCTAATGGGTAGAACTGTGCCTCCTTTTCCAGGGGAAAATATTCCAGCCTGCTTGAATGAGAGTTGAAAGGCTCTGGGCTTCCCATGTTCAACTGCCCATCTGCATTGTTTACAAAAGTCCTCCTCCACCACCACTGTGATGGGGGGGTCCCAGGGCCCCCTTAGAGGGCAGCTCCTCTGGACAACTATCAGTGCTCTATTCTGAGGGTGTGAAAGATGCATGGAAGGGCTGGTCCTTTCCTGGCCAGAGAATTCTTTCTTCCTTTGGAGAGGACAGTGCTACAAAAAGCAACCTTTCCTTTTGGGATGATCCCCAAAGGGCCCTAATGAATTTAAGAGCATTGCAGTTCAGGAGCTCTTTTGAATAACTGGCTGTGAATATGCTGGGTGACAGTTTAGACTGCTGCTTAGACAGTTGACAGTCCCCTCCCTTTTAGTCCAGGATGGGGGTTGAAAAAAGAAGATTTTCACAGATCTTTCTTTATTCATATCGGAAGCACCTACAAATTATGGACATGTAACGTTCAACACTGAGCAAATAAAATAATTATAAAATAGATCATAGAAATATAGCACGTATAAAAAGTATATAAATAAATCAGATTAAATCTAAATGCCCTTCGCCACTACCGGGCCCAGCATTTTCTCTCGGCAGCATGACGTCTCCCTCCGCCTGCGCTGAAGGATCTCCCAGGCACAGCAGCCCCTGTGAGAGGAATCGCTCTTCTCCACCTTCAGGCACGGGGTCTTCTATAGGGAAGCCCCATTTTCTTAGATTGTCCTTTGAACTTCCTGCACACTCCGTTCAGCAATTTCCATACCAGCCAAGGCTGTTCTCGGCCAGGCGGCAGACAGCTGCATGGTTGTGCCCAGATTTTCACAAATCATTTTCATGTGTCATTTTATTGCACGATCCTTAATATTTGGGCACTTCATAACCAAGCCAGGAAGGTGATGTTAAGCTCAGTTCTGGAAGGGTAAAGTTGCTGAGAGTAATTGAAATAATCTGTGAGCCCTAATGGATGCCTGGAACACTGCCCGGAACTGGGGGTCTCCCTTCTGCTCTGAGCAGGATGATGTGGGGCAGACTTGCCCACTAGCACCTGGTTGAGCTTCCCTCTGTCTTGGTCCCCCCCCCCTTTCTCCGTGGAGGCAAGAGGCTTTTCTCATCATTTGGGGCTGCACACAAACACTTCAGGGGCTGTAATGTCCACCCCCCCTCCCTGATGACCCCTGCAGATCAGCAACCTGATCGCCTCTGAGATCCTCTGCAGTGAGGACGTGGCTGCCCGGGTGAGCATAATCGAGAAGTGGGTGGCCGTGGCTGACATTTGCCGGTGTCTGCACAACTACAATGCCGTTCTGGAGATCACCTCGGCCTTCAACCGCAGTGCCATCTTCCGCCTGAAGAAGACATGGATGAAGGTGTCAAAGCCGGTGAGTGCTCAAGGAGCCCCACTGCCAAAGCTGCGCACTCGGGACCCAGACCCAGAAGGAGGGGACTGTTTCTTTGACCTCTAATGAATGAATCTGTTAGCCACTGCACTTTCTCCCTTAATTCTTCCACTTCCTGGACTGATTCTTTGATTGTGGGTCCTTGGTGCTCTCCAAGATGGGTTGCTTGCTTGCAGATGTTTCATTACCTGAATAGGTAACCTCATCAGTGCACTTCAATGCTAGGTAGCACTGGATGTTGTTTGATCATCAGGCTCTGCAGGGCCGTCAGGGGCTCTAAGGCTTAGCCCCCCCATCTCCATTTCCATCTGGCAGTTCCGACTCTGAGGACCCCAGGGCTTCTCTGCCCACCTGGAGCCAGGCGGGGGCCCCAATGGCCGCTCCAGCCCAGGCTCCCTTCCCCCTTGGGCTCCTCTCATTCTTTCCCTTCTTCCCAGACCAAAGCTGTGATCGACAAGCTGCAGCGGCTGGTATCTTCAGAAGGACGATTTAAAAACTTGAGGGAAGCTCTGAAAAAGTAAGTTGCCTCTGCTGCTCCCGCCTGCGGGTTGGAGGCCAGGAGGGCCTTGCCCAGCCCGGGCAGCCGGCAGGCAGACTCCGGGAGAGGAGAGCCAAAGGGGCAGGCGGCACACAGCCCTGCCCACGTAGATGCTGCCGTGGCAAGAGCCAGGCACGTGGCCAGCAGGAGACTGAGGGGCGGCAGGCAGGCGTCCCCTGCCCCACTCCCAGATGGGCAGAGAAGCCCTGGGGCCCTTGGCAGGGAGGGGGAGTTGATGGGCTGCCAGCCCTTGGGATGCCGCTGAGGCAGAGCAGTATGCAAAAGGGACCGAAGAAACCATTTTTCAGGAGATAGAGGGTGTTCATCTTTGGGAACCAGCCCTGTTGCCTTTGTCCTGCCGGCTGAATGTCTCTTTTCTGCCTCTCAGTTGTGACCCTCCTTGCGTCCCTTACCTGGGCATGTACCTCACGGACCTGGCGTTCATTGAAGAGGGCACTCCCAATTACACCGAGGACGGCCTGGTGAACTTCTCCAAAATGAGGATGGTGAGCTCCCTGGCAGGGGCACAGAATCGCCCTCCCCCTAGCCGGCTGCCTGCCTGACTCTGCCATAGGGCCCCCAGCACGGTGCCGATGCTTTCCCAGCCCAGCCCTTCTCCCTGGGAGCATCGCCTGCTGTTTGGCAACCTTTGGGCACAGGGGCCTCTCTCCTCTCTCCCTGTAGATCTCCCACATCATCCGAGAGATCCGGCAGTTTCAGCAGACGGCCTACAAGATCGAGCATCAGGCCAAGGTAGGATCCTGCGGCTGCTCAGCTCCCTGCACAAGGAGAGGGTTGGGGTGGGGTGGGGGAAAAAGACCGTCATCTGGGGGGGGAGGCTCTTGGCCCCGGGGAAGAGGCAGGGCTTTGTGCTACTGGGGCACAGGCTCTCCCTGAACTCTCGGGGTGGCATGTCCTGGAGGAGAAGCTGTCTGGGGGGTGCAGAGTCCTGCTTTAGACACGTGGTTCCTTCAGTGACCTACAAGCAGACAAGCCTCCAGCCCAGCCGGCTGCCAGCAAAGCCTCAACTTTCCTCCTGCAGCTTCTTTCCTGAAAAGGGTGGGGTGAAGGGTGATGCCTCTCAACTGGCGCCCAGGGAGGATGCTCTGGGGGAGACCCTCTTGGCCCAGTCTGGTTCTCTCTCCCCACTGACTGGCACTGGGGCCGATGCCCCCCCTGGGCTCCCCGGCCTCTTCTGCCCCTGCTCTTCTCTCTCTTCCAGGTCACGGAGTACCTCCTAGATCAGTCGTTTGTGATGGATGAAGAGGGTCTCTATGATGCGTCTCTGAAGATAGAGCCAAAGCTCCCCACCTAAGAACACAGCAGCTGCACCCACCAGCCCGGGACCCAGGGATGTGTCTGGCCTCTCCCCTCTTGTTTCTTGACTTCCTCCCACCGCTTTTCCTCCCCCCTCTTTCCCCCCCACCCACTACTCAATCTTTGCACTGTCAACGGGCAGGCTTGGTTTTGATCAAACCGATTTTCTTCTCTGTTGACTCTTTGGGGGCAACCGGACTGGATGGATTCAGGACTGGGGTGCTGGGGGCCAGGCACCTCACTTGCCCTGGAGCCCCAGCTTTCTTGGCCTCTGTACTTTGGCCCTGATGCCCCTGTAGTGTGGAAAGCTCAGCCCCCACCTGAGCTACTCTGGACGTTCTTCAGCTTTTCCAGAGCAGCTTTGATGGGGTCCATTTCCCCAGGATCGTTGTGTTCTCTTCACTGCCCAAGGCAGGCAGGGTGGCAGGAGACACAGGCAGGAGGCACCCGTGGTTGGCTTGGAAGGAGCCTGAAGCTGGTCCACACCTCCCGTCCGTATTGGGGATACATCTCTTTGGGGCCACGGAGCCTCTCCGAAGTTCCTGGGGCCAGTTGGCTTGTGCAAAAAAGCTTGGGGCAGCCCCGTGGGTTCTGGGCCTCATATGGCAGGCCTGGGGCCGGGGAGGGGGCGTGAAGGCCATTTGGATTTCCCGCCTTAGGCCCTGGGAGGGAAAGGCCCTCTGTCCCTTTGAGCATTTCTGCTGCACCCCCCAATTTGGCGCTTCTGTCTGTATGCTTCGTTGTAGACATAGTGACATGTCTTAGTAACATGATGTACAATTAGAGGGGGTTTTATTACATATACTGTAATCCTGTCTAACCACTGGCTAGCAGGAATATAGTAATGTAGTGCTTATTCTGTGAATATTATCATGTATTTTTTACAGTGTACAGTGTATAAACCCAAGTGATTTTTTGAGTAGCAGGCATGCTCTATGGGAACTGAATTCAGAAACCTTTTGCTGTAAGCAATACCCTCTGGTATGAGAATTGTCTTTCAAGACCTGAAATATTTCAACCTGCAGCTTATTTGGAAAAGAAAATTTCCATTTTTTTGTAAAAATATATGTTTCCTGATTACCTCTTGCTAATAAATCTATTCTATCTCAGGGTGAACCATGGCTTTGGGCGTGTGTACAGACCAGCCGGCGGGCTGGAGAGGCAAGTTTGAAAAGGAGAAATGGAAAGAGGGTGGGGAGGGAGAGGTGTGTGGCATGGCTGGGGACAAAACGAGGGCTTTGGCAGTGGTGTGGAAATGGCTGGAAAGGCAGTGGCTGGAATTAAGGGTGCCCTTAATTCCAGGTTGCTTCTCTCCTTGATTAGTTTCCATTCACTGTTTCTTGTCTTGCCTTCTGGTGCTTTGGAAAATAAGTCGACCACCTCGTCTTTGTGGAAGCCCCATTTGGATTGAGCAGGGGGTTGGACTAGATCTCCAAGATCCCATTCCCAACCATTTTCTCCAGCAACGTAATTCAGAAGTCATTTTTTTTCCATTCACCCTTTCTGACAGTCACAAGAGCCTTTTAATAAAAATTTGACAAATAATCAAAGCACTTTGTTTTCCCCCCACTCTGAGTAGTGTGACGGAAAGTACCCACCCATCTCACTTCCCTGGTGCTTAATATGGCAATTTACAGTAGTTTCATTTCATCTTTCCGAGGGTTGAGTTTCCCCGTGTTCCTGTTTCTTGTTCCCTTGTAATTCTGTCTTTGCAGTTTCAGATCTTTTTTTGTGTGGCATCATCAGCAACTAGTCACCCCGAAGGCTTTAATTGAGCCATGTTGCACACACCATTAGCCCCCTGAAAAACCCTCAGGTCTTCCTTGGCATCTGGGGGGGGCGGCATATGACCGGAGAAGCCATCACCTGCAGTGCACCCTCAATCGTTTTATATCTTCCATCTGTTTCCCTTGATGAAGATCCAGGAGTGGCTTGCCATGGCCTTCTCCCATGCAACATGGACACTTTGGCCACAAAAGCGACCCTCCGCTCCCAGCAGCTGCTCCTATTGCAGTCTGGGAGTTGAAGTCCCCAAGTCATCAAAGGGCCGGGGGTTTGAAGACCCCTGCCTTAGCTCAAGGGTGCTTTCCAAACGGCAACCGGATTCCTGGTTTTTTCTTTGGGAACGTTTTGCTTCTTATCCCAGAAGCTACCTCGGCTCCAGAACGTCTGGCTGCCTTTTGGAAAAGCACCTTTGGGACAACCGTAACCGGGAGTCTCCGTCGTTATTCCTCAGTTCAAGTTCGGCCTCCTGCGAGGAGACCCGGAGCCTCGGCGCTTCCCCCCTGCCGAAAGGAGCCGCGGGGCTGCCTCGGCCGGGCTCTCCCACCCGGGCCTGCAGCACTCCGGCCTCCTCGGGGCTCTGCCAGCCGAGTGTCGGGGCTTTGAAGCCTCCTTCCCTCGGGACAGGCTCAGCAGCCAGCCCCGTGGAGGTTTCGCTCTCCGGCCAGGGGCCCCGGAGAAGGCGGCCCAGCGCGGCTCCATTGGCCCGCCGGCGCCGCCCAGGTAGCCGCCCGCGGCCGGTGGGAGCGCGGCCTCGGAGCCACAGGAAGGGGCGGAGGCAGCGCCCGGGCCTCCCCGAGCCTCCGGCTGCCCAAGGAGCCGCCCAGCCTCGCCCCGCTCCAGAGCCCAGCCAGCCTCGCCCCGCTCCAGAGCCCAGCCAGACGTGTCCCGCTCGCTCGCCCCGCGCACAGGATGGCCCCGCGGGCGCTGCCGCTCTCGATGCCGGCGCCGCTGCTCTGCTTCGCGCTGGGACTCTGCCTCTGCGCCGCCGCCGCCGCCGCCAGCAGCCGCGGCGGCCCCCGCGGATCCGCCTCAGGTACGGGCGGCGGGCGCAGGGCAGGCGGGGCGAGGCGGTACGGTGCGATGCGGAGCTCGGCCGCCGCCGCCGCCGCCGCCCGTCCCAGAAGGGGCGGTGGCGGCGGCGCGCGCCCGGCCCGCTCCCGACCGGCACTTTTCCTCCCGCAGGAGAGCCGCTCTTCAAGGCGTGGGCCTCGCAGGTAAGCAGCCGCTGGGCAGGGGCGACGGCGGGACCGGCCGCCTCCGAGAGCAGCGACCGCTCCGTTGCCGGCAGCCCCGAAGAGGCGCCCTTCGCCCTTCGCCCCCCCCCTCTCGCGCGGGCAGCGGGGCGGATGAGGGAGGGGGCGCCCGGCAAGAGCCTCCCCAGCCGCGGGTCGGGCGGGGGAATCCCAGGCTGGAGGCGCCTCCCCCTCCCCGCGAATGCTCGCCTCGCTTTCGCTTTCTCTTCGGCGCTGCAGCACCGGCGGACGTACCGCTCCGAGGAGGAGTTCCGGCACCGGCTGCAGATCTTCCTGGACAACAAGCAGAAGATCGACAAGCACAACGCGGGCAACTACAGCTTCCGAAGTAGGGGCGCTGCTCAACCCCCCCCCCGGCCGGTTTCCCTTCGGCTGCTAAGAAAAACGCCCCCCCCGGTTGTAGCCCCTCCTGACGGCCCCCTCCCCTCTCTCTCCAGTGGGCCTGAACCAGTTCTCGGACATGACCTTCACTGAATTCAGGAAGAAGTATCTCTGGCAAGAACCCCAGGTAAGGCCACCTGAGCCAGGTGAGGCAGTCGGCAGAGGCGGCCTTAGTCTGATTGTAACCCAGACCCCAATCAGCTGGACTGCTAGAGGGACGTTTCTTGACCTTGGAAACTTTATTCATTCAATCCTTTATTTGGCCCCATCCATGAGAAGCAGGCTAGCAATGGTGGCCAGGGGCCCATCCAGAGCATGCCCAGGCTGTGCCCCCCCCCCCCCCCATGGTCTGTTCTGGCACAGGAGAGCGGGATGGGCTGGCCTGATGGGGCTCATCTGCTGGCCAGTGACCGCTTCCCGCTTGCCTCCAGAACTGTTCTGCCACCCTGGGCAACTTCCCCAGGAGCGCAGGGCCCTGTCCGAAGGCCATCGACTGGAGGAAGAAAGGAAAGTTTGTCAGCCCTGTGAAAAACCAGGTAATTCGCTCATTCAGTCCATTCATCCCAACAAGGCACTCTGGGCAGCCAGCAGGGGTTAAATGGGGGGGGGGGTGAGCTTCCCTCTGGCCTTCCAGGCGCCTTGCTAAGAAGCTGGTCCCCCTTCCAGCGGATGGGATCTTCTCATACCTCTCCTCTCCTCTCCTTCCCCCTCCCCACCAGGGCTCCTGTGGCAGCTGCTGGACCTTTTCCACCACCGGCTGCTTGGAGTCTGCCATTGCCATAAAAACGGGGAAGCTACTGAATTTGGTGAGGCTGTTCATCTGCACTCCGCTCTTTTTAAAAGATTTTGGCAAAGTATAAATGAGGGCCGTTTGGTGCCAGCCTCCCTTGCAAGTCTTCCTGGGGAACCTTCCAGTCTCACAGGGCAGCTCAGCAGGACCCACCTGGTGCTGCCCTCTTAGGGATGCTGCTCCCAACCCAAACTCATCAGCATCCCCCTTCACACAGCAGGCGGCTAACTGGGGGCCAAACCCCTGGCTGGGAAAACGCAGCCTTCTCCTGCCAAGGCCAGAAGGGCGGGGCGGGGGCTTTCATGCCATGCGTTTGTGGCAGGGAGAGCAAGCAGCCCTGGCCGAGTCCCAGCGGATGGATGGATGCATAGATCTTTGTTATTTTTTACTCTGGGCACACTGGCACACATTAAAAATGAAACTCTCTTGCCTGCTCTCAAAAGTGTACACAAACTTAACACACACATAAACATACTATATACAACATATGTATATACCTACACCCTTACATATAAATATTAATCACTGTCCTTATTTATTTATATTCTGCATTTATTATTTTCACAAATAATTCAAGGCAGCAAAAGTATCCAACACTCTCTCCTCCCCTTACTTTCCCCACAACCACCCTGTGAGCTGTGATGGGCCGAGAGAGAGACTTGCCCAAAGAAACCTAGCCGCCTTTCATGGCTACAGCGGGACTAGAACTCTGTCTCCCACTTTGTAACCTGGTGCCTTCACCACTTGACTTCAACCTGCACGTCCCTCTCCATCAGTAGGGCTGCAAGGGGGACACAAGCTATTGCAGAGCAGCCCGGCCCAGAAGGCTAACTGTATATGTGGGCTTCTATCCTGGGCTTCAGTTTGATCAGGGTGGGCTCGGGCCCCGCTCTGGCTCCTCTGGGCACCCTCGGACCCTACAGAAGCAACCCGAGGGCAGGCTTCCTCAGGTGCCAAGCACAGTGGCAGAGAGCTGGAATGGCCCCTCATGTGCAAAGACACCCAGTCTCCAGGAAAGAAAGTGGCACCAGGCAAGGCCAGGCCGGCTGCTCAAGAGACGGGCAGGAAGGCTGGAACGGGACCCTCAGGGTGTGGCTTTCCGAGGCTGGCAGCCTTGATTTAACATGTCTCCCCTCTTTCAGGCGGAGCAGCAGCTGATTGACTGTGCTCAAAACTTCAACAACTTTGGCTGCAGTGGGTAAGAGATGCCCTCCCCTCCCCTCCCTCCAGTTCCTTCTTAGCCTCGGCCTCTGGGGCTCCCCGGAAATGCCGCTTGGTGAGGCCTTCCCTTTTCTTCGCAGGGGGCTTCCCAGCCAGGCTTTTGAATATATCCTGTACAACAAGGGGCTCATGGATGAAGAGGCATACCCTTATCGGGCCCAGGTATTGGGGGGGGGGCTCTGATCCGAGGCGGGCAAGTTGCCTTTTCTGCGAAGCTGCATCTAAAAAGGCTCCTTTGGTTACGTGCAGAACGGCACCTGCAAATTCCAGCCCCAGAAGGCAGTGGCGTTCATTAAAGACGTGGTCAACATTTCACTGGTAAGCAACCCGCAGCCTCTTCCCTAGAGAGGCCAAGCAGCAGCCAAGAGCCCTTTGCCCCTTTGGGGATCAACCTTCACCTCACGTCCCACAAAGCAGAGGCCCAGGGCCCTCCCAGCAGTCTGCCTTGACTGCCCTATTTAAAAAAAGATTAATAGACTTGAAAATGGTCTGCTTCTCACTCGGGTCTGACGGGAAGCCATGTCCCCTCTTTCTGCACATGCTCAGAGGCCCTAATCTGATCATGCCGGCCCTCTTTCTTTCCAGTATGATGAGCACGGCCTGGCACAAGCGGTGGGCACCTACAACCCAGTGAGCATTGCCTTTGAAGTGAGGGAGGACTTTGTACAGTATCAGGAGGGGGTTTACACCAGGTGAGTCCCTGCTGGCACACCCGTTTGCTTCATGCCAAGAGGATGTTGCTCAGTGGCCCCACAATCAGCTTCTTCCCAGCAGGGCTCCCTGAAGCAGCATCTGGCAGCCCCCTGCAAGAATGGCCCCCATTCCGTGGCCCTCAGATCCCCACCAGAACGCCTAGGCACCCCTCACACTTGGTCGTTACGCTTTTCTCCAAGAGGCCAAGGAGCCAGGGTGGTTCTTCTTTCCCTCCATGACTCGCACAACGTCCGACTCGGTCTCCAACCGCTGCTCCGTCTCTCTTCCCACAGCACGGAGTGCGACAAAACCCCGGACAAAGTGAACCACGCCGTCCTGGCCGTGGGCTACGGGGAAGAGGGCGGCGTTCCCTACTGGATCGTGAAAAACTCGTGGGGCACCTCGTGGGGCATGGACGGGTAATGCGCTGTCCCCGGCGGCTTCCCTCGGCCTTGCAAGGCGCCGGCCTTTCCGGATCGGCGGCCGCCTGCGAGGGTCATTCTCGGGGAGGGGGAGGCGAAGGGGGAAGCCGCTGCGGGTCCCCGCAGTTCAGCGGCACTCGCACTCGGGGAGCTCCGGTCCCCACGAGAAGCCCGCCCGCCGAAGGGGAAGCGGCTCCCGGGGACCCGGCTCTGGGCTCGTCCCGCGGCTTCCTGGGGGAGTCGGGCGCCCTCCGCTCTGCGGCGGGCGGGGCGCTTCGGGGTCGGAACCCCCCGCGAAGAGAAGCGGCCGCTCCGACGGGCTCCCTCTCTTTCCCCCGGCAGGTACTTCAACATCGAGCGCGGGAAGAACATGTGCGGCCTCGCCGACTGCGCCTCCTTCCCGGTCCCGCTCCTCTGAGGCCGGCGCCCCGCGCGCCCTCCACGGCCCCGGCAGCTGCGCGGGCTCCGCTCGGCGGGCAAAATAAAAGCTTCGAACCCAGAACCCGTCTGGTGGGCGTGTCGGGGGAGGGGCGGCAGGCGTGGTCTCCCGGCCCCGCCCCCGGCTCGCCGGAAAGCGCCCGACGACACTTCCGCGCGCCGGGGCGGGGCCTGCGCGGTCCAATCGGGCGCCTCCGGGCCGGGAAGGCGCGTCGCCCGAAGCCTCCGCCGGGATGGCGGCCCTTCCGCGCAACAACCTGCGCGAGCAGCTGCAGCGTTACTCGGCCAGGGGCGCCCTCGGCTCGCGCGCAGAGCCCAGGCCGAGGCCCGCGTGAGTGAGGCCGGGGTCGGGTCCGCCGGGGGGGGCCGGGCTTCGAGTCGACGCTCGCCAAGTAGGGGGGCGGAGGGCGCGAATGGACGGTGAGCCGCTTGCGATGGAGCCCGCGAGGCAGGCGAGGCACGCGGGAGCCGCCTCGGGCAGCCTCCCCTTCGGGCCCGCCCGGTCTTCTGCGAAGGCTGCCGATGAAGGGCGGGCTCCCGGGCTCCGGGGAGGGGCTGTGGCCGGAGCGGCGGTTGTCCGGTTCCCTTGCGGGAGGGATGGGAGCAGCGGGGAGAGCTGGTCCGGAGGCGGCGCCCCAGACGGCGGCGGCAGTCTTCGGGGCGGCCCCGTAGAGCGCCTTGCGGCAACCCTCTGGGGGGCTGAGGGGACGGTGGGCCGCGCCTCCCCGTGCAGGAAAAGGCGAAACTGAAAGAGAAAATGGTGCAAGCGCAGCTCCTCTCCGGGGCTGCCACACCCAAACCGGGGTGCCTCAGATTGCAGCCCAGTTTTCTTTGGGAAAGCGCGATTGCGTCCAGAGTCAACGGTGGAGAAGCACCGGCGCCGTGGGGGCCCAAAACCTGCAACCGCTCAGTCTCGCGAAGGTTAAGCCGAAGCCTGTTCTCCCCCATCCAGACCCCCACAGTCCCCAAGCGCTGAGGCCAAACCCCAGAGCCCAGCCCAGTTGGTCCAGGTCGCAGATGTAGCCCTGGATATCATCCGAGGCCTCAGCCGTTAAATAGGAGCGGGGAGAGCATCCAACCCTGAGATATCCACCGAAAACAGGCCAGGGTCGAGAATCCTTCCTCCCCATTCCCGCAAACTGGAACCAGCTCTGCTGAACAAAGCCGTTCTCCCATTCCTCATCCCTGGAACCAGTCTGGAAGGATCCAATGCAGGATACACCCCTTTTCTTTTGGTGATCTGAGAAATTATTGACCTGCCAGTTATCCAGTCTGCAGCCTTCCTCCTGCCTCCCAAGGTCACTACCACTTATCATTACATAAGGAGATCCGGGATGGACACACTACCTCCACTTGACTCTTGCTAGAGTCACCCACAAATGCAATTGGTCGCGTTTCAGTCATCTGAAACCTGACAGAAAAGGATCCAGACAATCCATTTCTACCAGTACAACTAGCTGTGGTTGGAGATCCAGTGAGAGTTATTCAAAATGGTCAGATCTAGCAATGGTTTTTGAGGAAGGTAAACAAATGGCAGCAGAACCGTCCCCCCTCCCCCCAAGGATGAATCCCCTTCCCCAATCCGAGGCATGTCGAGTGCCAGAAAGCACAGACAGCTGGGCTAACGATCCCAAGCACCCTGCCTGTTTCCTTAATGGTATCACCTATTCTGAGATGTGGAGCAAGGTGGAAAACGGAAGCAGTGAAAGAAAGACACCAATAGGGAGCAGAAATAACTAGCCAAGCTAATAGATTAATTCAAGACGCTGTTACTTCAACTACATAAAACGGTATGAAATCTGCCAAGTTTCAGCTTGACTGTTGAGGGACTGACTCGGAATCCCTTTTCTCAGGGATTGCTACCTTGAGGTCAGTGATGGAGTAGCCTGGGGGGGGGGTGCAGACACATTCTGCCACCGGACACCTTTGCGGCTCTGCCCACACAGCCACAGGAGTTATACCAGGGCTGGCAGCGGGGGTGCTCCGAAGACACTGCTGCCGTCTCTTCAGCTGCCCACTCTCCCGTGGCTGTGTGGGCAGAGCTGCGAAGGTGGCCAGTGGCCGAAACTGTCAGCCCAGGGACGATGCAGAGAGCCTACCACCGGCCTCCAGAGCTGCCACCATCGAAACCATAAAATACAGGCGGTGAACGGGCAGCAGGCAGCACGACACAGTGCTGCAGAACCAAGTGGCAGGCGGAGGAGGAGGCCGCTGCCGAGCAGGTAATCCGTGGGGTGGGGCCAGCGGGGACTGAAGAAAGCCCCTCCAGCAGCGGACGCAGCTGATGCACAGAGGCAGTGGAGGCCTTTTGCCGTCACTCCTCCCTGGCTCCGAAACGGCGTAGGGGAACGGGTAAGGTGACCGAGCCTCCCCCACCCATCCTCCGTAGTATGGCAGTCCAGCTTGGGAGGGGGGAGTGAAAGCGAAGAGGCGGGTGGGCAGCCGGGTCATTGAACAGGTGGGGGAAAGTTGCCAAGTGGGGAGGGGCCAGGCTGCGGGGGCCCTGAGATAAGCAGGTGTGGGCATGTGGAGCAGCTACACCCCCACCTGCCTCACCTCAATTGTTGGCAGTGGCATGGGCACGCCTTGTGGCCTCCTGCCCCGTTGCAGCCGCGAGCAACCAGATGGGATGGAGTGGGCGGGCAGCTGCAAACGAAGACACCCCCGAAAATAAGCCCTAATGGTTCTTTTGGTCCTATTTTTGGGGAAACACGGTATTTATTTTTAATATATTTATTATGCTGTCAATATAAATATGTTGCCAATGAATCTGGAAAAGAGATTTCTGGACACTAAAGATGATGTTTTGAATTTTGCCATAAAATGCTTGCTTAGAGTAGAATAGCAACTGCATTTCATCTGATATTGTACATTTTTCTCAGAGCTGAAGTAGCTGCAGAATGAATACATAATAGCGCAGCTTCTTAACAATATTCAAATGTGTGTCTGCAATAAATCCAAAATAGTGGCAAAAGTCAGTACTTTGAGCTAGATCTGACTTGCTTCTAAGCGTTATGTCATCATGACTGGCTAAAGTCTAAATTTACCCATTTTTGCAGGGGATTTATATTCAGAAAGATGAATTGCCTTGATGTCTGCACATCAGGATATATGGGTGGAACAAAACCTACGGCCTTAAAGGACAAGAATACCAATTCTTCTTTGGAAAAACAAAATGGTATTAAAAATAAGCAAACCAAAATTAATGAGCTGTTTGAAACAACACTGAAAGTTGAAGAAGGAAAACAAGAGGATTCAAATGATCAACATGTCAAAAATTTAGATTGTTTTATCTCTTCTGTGAAAGAAAGTGATGCGGACTGCAAAGTAGGGGGATCTGAGATCCCTACCCCGGAACATAATTGTTCAAACAACTCATTTATTGACCTTACTGATAGTTGGGAAGACATGGAGGACTTTGAAACACCTGGACCACAGAAAAGATGTCCACAACAGTCTGTATCATTTCAAGATAAGTGGTCTGTAAAAAATAGAAAGACTGCAAAAAGCCTGAATCCATCTACTGGAAAATCAAAGATACCTAGCACAGAAAGAGATAATGAAGACTGTAACGATGTGTATATTTGTACAAATAGGAAAACACAAATGCTTCATAAGGAACAAGAGGGAGGCAGCCTGCCTGTTCCTTGTCTTGTCCCTTCAAATTCCAGTCAAAGAGATTTTTCAAATGGAGAACGTGAAGAGAAGTCTTTGGAAAGTCTCCAGACAGGAAAAAAAGAAAAATCTTGGATTGGTAAGTGCTCTTTTTCTAACCACTTCTGTAACAGGGATAACTTCTGGGAAAATGAATTTACTACAGCAGGTGCCCCTTAAGCTAGACTCAAATGAAGCTCACTTCCTCTTAATTTATGAATTTAGGTTGTCATTAGTTTCTCTGCAATGTTTTTCAACTTTCCAGTCTAGCTTACAATCTTGAAATTCCTCATGAGGTCCCCATCTAAGAGCTAAGCAGCCCCAACGCTGCTTATTTTCCAGGGCTAGTCAAGGTGACCGGAATGTGGAGGTCTTCTGCCCTGGTGCTCCTTCCCCAGGGAGCTCACAGCAAATGCCCTCCCATCTGTCTTCACGTCAGCTGCATTAGGGAGACCAATCAGTCTCCATCAGCCTGAGGTCTCATCAAGTAACCTGTGGCTCTGTTGGTGTCTGACCTGGTTCTCCGTAGTCCAAGTCTGACCTTGTTCCCTATGACACAACTTGACTAGGTTAAAAAGAGTTGCGTACATGTCCCCACTAATCAACACATCTAATCACAGAAAATCATTAGATGTACTTAATGCTTTTCCTTACTTAATTAGCAATAGCACTTAGACTTATACACCGCTTCACGGTGCTTTACAGCCCTCTCTAAGCGATTTACAGAGTCAGCATATTGCCCCCAGCATTCTGGGTCCTCGTTTTACCGACCTCGGAAGGAGGGAAGGCTGAGTCATCCTTGAGCTGATCAGGATCGAACTCCTGGCAATGAGCTGAATTAGCCTCCAATACTGCATTCTAACACTGCACCACCATGACTCTTATTGCTATAATTTAACTTTATATTTTTAACGATTAAACCTATTCATTATTTTTCACTGGTCTTTTGTTTAATATGTACTCTTTTTTTGGTTAAAGGGCAAAATGATTCTGGCCTCCCTTTAAGTGGGAATGAAGAGTCTGAGGATGGAAGGGATGACCCTCAAGTATTCAGTGAGTCTGAAGACTACGTGGACTTCATACCCCCGTCCCCAGAGGAGGAGATGCTGCCTGCTTCGTTTGTGCTGAAGAGCACTAGGTACACTAGGATTTATCTTAAGGGTACAGACAGCATTTTTCTTGGGGGAAATAGCTGGTATTTATACCTCTGAATGCTCTGCCTTATCCCTAAAGATAAAACAATGAGGGTAAAACAACCAAATTGTTCTAAAAGGGCAGGTGGTGGTATTAGAGTGGGTGAGTTTGGACCCTAAGCAACCCCAGAAGAAAGGGAGATGTTTACCAGCAGCTGTCAGTGTCTCCCCCCCACCAAAATTACATGGGGAAGTGGGCAGGAAGGGGATGGATCCAGAAGGCTTCTCCCTTTCCCCACTATGCAGGTAGTCCTCACAACCACAGTTTCTGCTGTTAAGCTATTAAGTGAGTTTTGCCCCATTTTATGACCTTTCTTGCCACAGTAATGTGAATCGCTGCAGTTCAGTTAGTAGCCCGGTTGTTAAGTGAATCTGGCTTCCCCACTGACTTGTCAGAAGGGCGTAAAAGGGAATCGGTTGCAAAAAACTGGAAAATCAAATAATTTCTTTCTCTGGTTGGTAGTATTTAAGCCAATGGGAAGAAGCACTCACTGAAAAATTAACACTTTCAAACTTCAATACGGTTGTTTTACTCAAATTTAATTTCCACTAATTCCATACCTTCCTAATAGTTATTGATTATAGAAATATACAGTATACAATTTTGATTGACAGAAATACTGTGGATGTATGTATAAAATCACGGTCTCATTAAAATTCTATTAGATGCATAAAGTGTATCTACTTTATGATATATGTCTGGATTTCTTAATAATTCTTAACGTTGTTAGGCATTTTCCCCAAAGGACAGCTGACGAGACAACACTGAGTCCTGAACTCTCGATGAGTCAACTTCCAGAGTTTGGAGAAAGCAGCAAAAGAAGCGAAGGAAGGAAAGAAGGTAAAACACTGTGACGTGTTCCAATTAGTCAGACAGCTTCGCACTGCGTGTGTCTTGCAAAGTACGTGACTGAACCCTGTTACATTTCAGGCCAGTCCCTCCTATGTGTAATGGAAGATATCTGTCGACTGGTGGATTCCATTCCAGAAAGAGAGCTGAAGTCTCTGCTAGGCGGTCCAGAGCTGCTTCGGCTTAGAGATTGCAGGTCTGTTGGGAGTTGAGGCTGGTTTGGAATGCAACGAGGGCCTTTGCTTCTTTACGTTAAGTTAAGAAATTAAGATGGGCTAAGTTTGTCCAAGCTGCAAAGTGCTCAGTCCCCTAAGATTCTCGTAGCTCTTAAAGCAGGCTGTATAAAGCGAGTCGGTTTTTTTAAGGTATGCATAATGACTTCTAGAAAGTAGAAAGTTCTTTGTCACAGGTTATAGGTAAATGGAGTCCTACTCATATTTATTTCAGAAGCAGAATTGTGCAAATAAATTCTCTTTTGATGTCTTCATTGGGATTTAATATCTCATGATTCCATTGCCTATTTAGTCCAAGGCTGTAAAACCTCCGCAGAAGTTCCAGCTTTGGAAAATATGCCTAGTCCACAAGGGGGAAAAATTGTCACTTATCTATTATATTAGAGAAACAGGAATGTTGTAGAACAAGAGAGTTTTTAATGACCAGATAATACCCCAGTATCATAGTTCTATAGGAAACTCGTGGGTGAATAATAATTAAAAAAAACTTTTAAAATGGGACAGCATTTTATTATCCATAGCCATCGAGGATCAGAAGTATTGATTGAATTGTTGAAATTGTTCAATTTCAGTATTGACAGAAAATGTATCTATTTGCACAGGACAATACATTGCTATTAAGGGTAGATACATTCTATATAGGATAATAGTATTGCTTCAATTTATTGGCCAAATCAAAACTGAAAATGCTTTTATATAATACACTAAAGCAGCTGTTTTAGCATCTATTATGTTTTATAGGCAGGGTTCTAAATTGGATTGTGAGTTGTAAGTAAGGTAAAAGAAGAGGAATTTCTGAGATGGGAACAGCAAATTCATTTGGAAAGTTTTAAAACAATAACTTATATTTTCTTATATCCAGAAGAAAACTGTTGAGCAACCCCAGAAATGGAAACAGAATTGGTGCTGATACACCTCTAGATATAAACTGCAAATGTAATTTCGACCATGGTGGGTCCCAAGATGGAACTTGCTCTTCTCAGCTGGGAAAAACGTCTCCCGCTCTTCCTCAATGGGGTGCTTGTATTCCTGGGCCATTTTCTGGCAAGCTGTCTGGTGATGTTCCCCCCCTGCCTGGCTTTCACCTGCCACCCTCTCGGGGATCAGCCAGTGCCGATCTATCTGTTTCCATGAAAGATCCTACCTTGGATGCTTCCTCTTCTGCCATGGAAAGTTCAGGCATATCTTGTCCCAAGAGGGAAGCCGGTGGAATTTGGGGGAATCCAGACTTAGAAGCAAAGACACGCTGGTGGCCTTCAACGCCGAGTGGAGCAAAACCAGAGAGCCAAGGGAAGCGCGCTCCGTTTATGGGCAGTGTTGAAAGGGAGAGCTCTTTGGCAACTGGAGGGCAGAAGCTTAGCGATGATGATGATTTTGATTTTGATGACTTGGACGAGGCAATGAGTGCTTCAACAACCAGACACGCTTATGAGGGGCCAGCCCAGCTTGCTGCAGATGCCTCCCCTGCACAATTATTTTTGAAAGGAAACCGTGTAGCGTCCAAGGCAAATGCCGATCTTTTGCGTAGCAATGTTTCTTACACGGACCGTTCTGTGAGTGGCAAGAGTTGTCCTGGTAAGTTGCACTATTTCTTCTTTTAACGCATTCTGGAAAATAAGCTGCAGTAAGAAATTACTGTGAAGAGTGTAATTAACTCATTTGACAAACAATCTTGCATCAGATGCTCTTACCCACACATTAACTGTCCTCAACCTTTTTGAGTATATTTGGACTTTTAGAAACATGTGGACACTCACCACGTAGTTGCTAGCGATGCTTCCCACAGTTCACAAATTGGCCAGCCGTAGGCACGTCTGCGTGTCAAGACATAAATTGGGTCCTCTTCAAGATTTCACATTGTTCGGTACATATATGATTGGAAACAGAGTAGGTGAAATCTCCTGAGATTTAATCATTGACGTGGTTTAGTGACACCCTCCCTCCCTCCCTCCTTCCACCCCTGAAATGTATTTATATATTTTCAGGTTTATGAAATTAAGTTTCAGCACCTGATTGGCTGGCTGCAAATCCTGGAAACAGCAAGTATATTTTGTCTTCAGTCTCATAATAAAAACTTGTTTTCTTCCTAGTTCTTCCACTAATTAAGAACACACCTTCCAGAAATGCCACCCTGGAACCATTCAGAGGTTTAGCATTTCCGCATTCTAATGAGATGCTGAAGATATTTCATAAAAAGTTTGGCCTCCATCATTTTCGGACCAATCAGCTTGAAGCCATTAATGCTGCTTTGCTGGGTCAAGACTGCTTCATCCTGATGCCCACAGGTGAGTCTTCCAGCAGAGGCCCCCTCTCAGGGGCCACTGCTTTCAAGGAAAGAGGCAGGGAGAATCAAGGCTGACAAACAACATATTAAGCTGTGATTGAAATAATCGAGAAAAAAGCAGTTATAATAATTGGTTTTAAATCAAGTTGCTGATGCATTCTCCTGGTCTGTGGTGTGGTTGCCTGGCTTACGTTTCCTCGGGTCTCTGTGGCAAGTCCTGTGGTTTAAAATGCTGCTTCTAAAGCGCAAAAAAATTCTAACTGATTAGCATTATCTACAGTTGAGGCCCTTCCCTAGGATATTGTGTTCTGTGGTGGATTGGGCGTCTGGGCATGTTGACAAACCATTTAGATTCAGGTACCTCTTTGCTCCTGGCTTTTAGCTTGGGCAGTTTGGTTTGGAGTTCGTTTTCCCTTTCCCAGCTTGTCTGAGGGATGTAATCTTGATGGGGATTGTCAGCATTTTTGTGTGTTCTGGAGTCATGGTTTGTTCCAGGTGCTGCTTGAGGTTATCTACGGTATGCTGGCATTTGTTTATTTTGAGGTGAACATCCACAATTATCAGCCATATCAGTTTTCTTCGCCTGCTTTGTTGAGTTATTTGCCATCCAGCTAGCTGTTCCTTGGTGGAGTTTTGCTTTGCCCCTCCTCCTTGGATCTTACAGTCCTGCCAGTGCTGCTCTGAAAGCCACTAAAGTGGGAGAGGTCTCCCAACACGTCAAGGCATGGGGGGTGGGTGGGGGGAGTTAACTATTTTTGTAACTTTCTAAGAAGTAATCATACTCTAAATCAATTTTAAACTTTACTCAGAATAAATGAAACTCTTGGATTTCTTACTTTGTTGAATTACACATTTCCCTGCACAAGCCCAGGCTGAACGCTCTTCTGCCCATTATAAAGCTATTTTCTATTTTGATATTAATGTATGAATTGCTGTTTATTATGATTAGAAATCATTTTCAGGATTTCGGTCGGTGTGTGTAACAAACTGAATTCATAAGCAATCAAATCTTTGGCTGCGCTTTAAATAAAAACCTAAGGAATGATTTAAAATGAATTTCATAAGAAATAACTTAACCAGGGTTAAGGACCTTCCATGAATGGTTCACTCCTGCACCAAACAGGAGATTGAGCTTAGTGGTTCTTTTTGCATCTCAGTTCTCGGACCATATTTTAATCTTCACGGTAACACGGGTGATGGAGAAAGTGTGGGTGGAAGCGTTGCGCCTCCTCCTGTGGTTGTGTGTGCAGAACTCCTGTGTCTGGAACTAGTAATGGAGTAGAACATGAGTAGAGCTTTCATCCTGTGCTTCTGCTCTGCTCAGGAGGTGGCAAGAGTCTGTGCTATCAGCTGCCGGCCTGTGTTTCAGTGGGAGTCACCATCGTCATCTCTCCCTTGAGGTCCCTGATAGTGGATCAAGTTCAGAAGTTGACCTCCATGGATGTGAGTTCAAGATGGCTTCCTGATTGATTCTCTGTAAATTGCCTGAAATGTAAAGCCATACTAAGATAATTTGTATCTGTCACAGGCATCTGGATTTCTGCTCTTTGCAGTGTGACTGTGCAAAAAATAAACCTCTAAATTCTTGTAGAATTTGTATCCATACAAAATTTAGTGGGTTGGTCCTGTTTAAAAACTAGGAAAAAAAACCCTGGTGTATAACTGCTTTCAGCAAAAGAACAACGTAGCCTTGGCCTCCTCCCACTTATGGGTCCAGCTAGATTGGTTTTTTTTACATATAATTGTTATTGAAACTTTTAAGCGAAAAGATGTAGACTAGGACAAAGAAAAAACATTGAGGAACAGTAGAAAAGTAAGAAAAATGATAGATAGAAGTGACTTCCAAATATTATTCACAGAGTTATAAGTACAGGTCCAGCTAGAATTGTGCAGTGCTTCTTACAATTTGGTTCCGAGTCCAAAGGAGCGGGCACTGTCCAACAGCAGACCACAGGTCTGGCCTTCCCCACTCCGAGCACAAGCAGTTTCCAAAAGTTTCCAAAAGAAGTGGTCAACAGCAACCAAAATTCGCGTGGAAGCCTTGCTAGCTGCTGTCCTCTCTGTCTAGATCCCAGCCACGTACCTCACAGGTGACAAGACTGGCGCCGAAGCATCCCGAATTTACATGCAGCTCTCCAAGAAAGACCCCATTATAAAACTCCTCTACGTTACTCCAGAGAAGGTTTGTATGGAGGCAATGCTCCAGCTGGCCCAAGGGGCTTGGATCCTTCCGAAGGCAGGGAGGCCTTGGCTGCCCTCGCCTGCCTGAGGGGGCCTGGGGGTGAAGGAGACGTGCCAGAGCCATGAAGTTGTGGCATCTGGGCCTCCTATTGCACTTGCTTTCCCCAGGTCTGCTCCAGTGGTCAGCTGATGTCAGCGCTGGAGAATCTCTACCAGCGACAGCTCTTGGCTCGCTTTGTGATTGACGAGGCCCACTGCGTCAGTCAGGTGATCTGTTTTCACTGAAAAGGGGGCGGATGGCCACAACAGTTGCGTCCCTTTCACCTGCGTTGAAGGCCCCAGGCTGGAAAGCAGGAGACCTGCGACTCCCACCGTTGGCATGAAAGCCAGCTGAGTGGCTTTGAGCTAGTCCCCCTCCCTCAGCCCAGTCCACCTCACAGGGTTGTTGTTGTTGTAGGAATGGATATGTTTGTGGCTTTGTGTTATTTGCAAAAATAGTAGAGGCAGAATACAGCCATACAATAAAGAAAGTACACCCTGTTTGAATTCTATGTTTTTACGTATCGGGACATGTGCTCCTGTTCATCTGAGGTTGTATTTACCTATTTTTAAAAACTGGTAAGGATCGGATGATTTTTACTGTGTCTAGATATGTAAAACTGTAGAACACAAAGAGGGTGTACTTTTTTTCACCTGACCATATAAATAAATGTAAATGTAACTTTTAGAAATCTTTTTACTAGTGGGGTCATGATTTTCGTCAAGACTACAAGCGGCTGAACATGCTCCGAAAGAAGTTCTCCTTGGTTCCCATGATGGCCCTTACTGCCACCGCCAACCCCAGAGTGCAGAAGGACATCCTGAACCAGCTGGAGATGCACCAGCCCCAGGTGTAAGTTTGATTCAGAGGCGGAGGAGAGATTTCCTTCCTGGGAAATTTGGAAAAGGGATGGCTTTCCTGGGGCTGCTGCACAGATGAGATACGTAGTTGTTCAATAATCCTTTTAGTCAACTAAATTGCTAATATCCTTCCAGGTTTACTATGAGCTTTAACAGGCACAACTTGAAATACGACGTACTACCCAAGAAACCCAAAACTGTTGCTCTAGATTGCTTACAGTGGATCAGGAAATACCACCCTGGTAAGTTATCAACCCTTCTTCCGTGGCCAACGTCTACTTGTATGGGGTTATTTTAAACCCAGAGATTAGATATTTGATATCTTGGTGTTCCTTAGTGAAATAGGCACAAAATAGGTAAGCCTTGTGGAATGATTCTGTAGACATCTAAAACCTATTCAAAAATGTCCCTTATTGATAAATAAAGTGGTGCCACGTGCCTAATGCAAGTTTCTCCAATCCTTTTGGAATTTGGGGGGCTTTAATTTTGAAAAGTATTTGGGTAATAGCACCAATGTAAGGGATGTGCCAGCTACAAAAGGCTGGAAATACCCTATTTCCCTCCCTTTATGGCTTTTCTGGAGTTAGAAAGGCCCACTGAGGGTTTTTGCCTACTCAAGGCAAAAATCCAAACGCAGGCATCTGAGAGAGAAGGCTGTCCAGCTTCCAGTTGGAGACACTCAAGAAGGGGATAAATGATTTTATACATACTTTTTTTTCAAATGTATTTTTTGTTGGGAAGGCTAGGAATTTGGGCAGGTCCCTCCTTTCTGGAAGGAGATAAAGGAACAATGTCAAGTTTAAAGACAGTTGGGCTTGTTTCTATCTAACGATGAGTAGTTACAAGCTGCCATTAAGGAAAGCCAACAGATGGAATTCAGAACTGTATCGCCCTCTTGAATAGACCAGCGTTTCTCAACCTCAGCAACTTTAAGATGGGTGGACTTCAACTCCCAGAATTTCCCAGGCAGCTTTGCTGGGAAAAAAGCTGGCTGGGGAATTCTGGGAGTTGAAGTCCACCCATCTTAAAGTTGCTGAGGTTGAGAAACACTGGAACAGATCTTTAGAGCCTTTTCCTGTGTGTTGCAGGTGACTCAGGAATCATTTATTGTCTCTCGCGGTATGAATGTGACTCCGTGGCCAACGCTCTGCAAGGGGGCGGCCTCTCTGCCCTGGCCTACCACGCTGGTCTCCCTGACGGCACCAGAGATCTCGTGCAGCAGAAATGGATTAACCAGGATGGATGCCAGGTAGAAAGAATAACCCGTGAGAAAGTGAGATCAAGTCACGCAACCATGTCGGCAATTAAAGCGGGGGGAGGGGAGGGGGCCCACGTGACAGTCTCTACAAAGAAGGTGCAGGGAGCTTCAAGAGCTCAGACTGGCACAGATTCTGTTGGCGTACAGCTAAACGTGGCTTTTCATTGTTTGACTAATACTGTGGCTTGAACAGGGTGATTGGGAAGACCAGAAGCCTTAAGAACACTTAGAATGCTGCTTCCGGTTTTGGTACCTCCATAATGCAGGCGGTCCTCAACTTGCAGCAGTTCATTTAGCGACTGTTTGAAGTTGCAATAGCACTGAAAAACATGACTTATAACTTTTTCACACTTATGACTGTTGCAGCATCCTCATGGTCAGGTGATCAAATAGTATGCCATCATTTTGTGACACTGCCAAACGTAGCAATTGGGCTGCCTTCCCTGATTGGATCCCTCACCCTTGATAAAGCTGCTGGTGTACTTAGACGTTGCCCTCCTTGGAACGGCTTGGAAGAAGAGCTGGAGAGAGGGAGGGCTTGCCTGCAGTCCTGGCAGCGTCTCTCTGGGCCAGCAATGAGGGATAGGCCAACGGGGATGAATTAGTGACCGGCTCTGCCAGTCAGTTGGCTGGACTCTCCCTTTGGTTCTTCCCTAGCAAGGCCATGGATTCACCTTGATTCCCAGCCACACCGGCACACGCACAACAGGGAACGATGCGATAGGAGAGGCAGTCAGGACCACGGGCAGGGAACATGGCAGAGGATGGCAAGCGCTCTGCCCAGCCTGAGCTTTGGGCAAAGAGAAAGGATGGAAGGAGCGATCGGCAAGAGCCAGAGTCAGTCCAGTGAGATAATCTAACAGGCACATGCGAGCCCATCAGAGGCAGCTTCCTGGGGGTCAGCCCCCCAAGGTTCAGCGCCCTTGTGCTTCCCTCGCCTGGAGTAAGGGGCTTGTTCTCTTGTCTTCCAGGTTATCTGTGCCACCATTGCATTTGGAATGGGGATTGACAAGCCCGATGTGCGCTTTGTGATCCACGCCTCCCTCCCTAAATCTATTGAAGGCTATTATCAGGAATCTGGCAGAAGCGGGCGGGATGGCGAAGTCTCCCACTGCCTGCTTTTCTACAGCTATAGCGACGTGACCAGACTGAGACGGCTCATCCTGAGTAAGTGTCGTTTCAAGCCCTGGGCCATGTCAAGCAGGCCCCGGAGTTTTCAAGCTGGAGGCCTTTTCTCCCTTGCCCCACTCACGGTGCTGCTCACTCCCAAAGGTTCCAGTTGGTCAACGCTTAACAGAAAACCCTAAACCTGAATAGAGTGTCCAGCCGATGACGCACTGACGTTCTTCTTTCTGGGCTTCACTGTGCAAGCAGCCCTTCCTGGAGCAACGCTCGCTGCCTGCCACTCCAACAATATTCAGAGCCAAAATAAGACTGACTTTATCTTGCTTGGACTATTATACGAAAAGCTGTTGCATTCCAGTATTTCACAATTTGGCTTTCATTTTTATTACCTCTAAAGTCAGCCAGAATTAATCTAGCTAGTTATGCCTGGCTGATTTCTTTTGTTTCCTGTTTGTCAAGGGATCTGTGTGTCTAGGATGAGGACTGGGAACAGTTTGGGTTTTAACAGTTAGAATTAATTTTTTTTAAAAATGGAAAAGGCACCACAATTGCCAGCTGCTTTTCCCAGCAAGCTCTGGGACGGTCCTTGTCACAACCTAATCTGATCCAGCAGGACCATCTGGCAGCTAAGCGATCCCCTTGCTCCAGGAAAATGGCCACGAAGGGAGTTCCAAGGTCTGTGGGGTCTTTCTTTCCATCCTCACCAGGTTCATCAGAGGTTTTGCAGCAGCTTTGTGAAACTTCAGTTGCTTGTTCCAGGTATTGCTCCTCTGGAACCTTTTCTCACAAGGGCCACGTTGCTTGCATTTCAGTGGAAAGGGAAGGTAACAGCCACACCCGGCAGACGCACTTCAACAACCTCTACAGCATGGTCCATTACTGCGAGAACATCATGGAATGCCGGAGGATACAGTTGCTGGCCTACTTTGGAGAAACAGGGTTTAATCCCAGATTTTGTAAGGAGCACCCTGAAGTAAGCTGTGACAACTGCTCCAAGCAACAGGTAAGCAGCTCTGCCTCAAAGTTTGCCTCTAAACAGCTGGATCAAGCCCCTCTCTGAGGGAGTGGGCAGTTCAGAAACACGAAATATAAATACTAAACAAATAAATCTTCCTGGGAAGGGCTGAAAGCAGCCAACTGAAAAGTTGGTTTTCCAATGATGGCGTATCATTTTTCCTCATTATCGCTGTTTTTCATACCCCAAAAGCTATTAGATGATATTCCTATTATGTTATTAATTACAACTACATGGTTTACATTTTAAATGGTATGTGAAAATTCTGCAGTCTATTGGTTCATACGTGATACAGAATTAATAAAACTATTTTTATTAGGCGTACAAGTTGAAGAATGTGACTGAAGAAGTAAAAAACATTGTGATGTTTGTTAAGGAACATTGTGGTGAAAAAGGAACTAGAAATATCAAGAGAACTGCAGGAAGATACACCCTCAATATGATGATTGACATTTTCTTGGGTAAGGTCTATATTATACATATTTGTATATACGTGTGCAACTCCTGTATATTTTTTTTAACATTGGGAGCTGGATAGGTCGTAAAACTGGCTGGGACATTTTCTTCTCCCCAGCCCCCCCCCCTTTTGCCAAAGAAGGATGGGCCTGGTCTCGTGCGCAGTCATTTCCATGAGTATCCCATGGCTCACTTTATCACCCTCCTTGTCTTCTGTTGGGGCTCAGAGTATAGCAGTCTGTTCACGTGATAGAGATGGTGGGGTGGAATTTGTGCCCTAGCAACGACCCTCCCTCCTTCCATATTTGCCTGTGGGATGGAGGGAGGGGTGTCTTCTCTCCCTTTCAGCCACAGTGAAGCAGAGTGAATTGCCTGAGGAGGGTCCCTTTTGATGAGAAACCCAGAGAGATGCGCCTATTCCAGGCTGCCCAGTCAGCACACTCTTGCTCATACCTTCACAGCGGGTTATATCCAGATGTGGACCCTACTCTTTCGTACAGTGCCAGAGGTTTCCAATCCCGGGGACTGTTCTTTCTGAAGAAGGGCTTGGGCATAAAAATAGGCTATACTACTCTCCTCCTTTTCCTAGGTTCAAAAAGTGCAAAGATTCAGCGTGGCCTCTTTGGCAAGGGAGCAGCCTACTCACGCCATAATGCCGAGCGGCTTTTTAGGAAGCTGGTGCTGGACAAGATTCTGGACGAAGACCTGTACATTAGTGCTAACGATCAAGCGATAGCGTACATCCAGCTGGGGGAAAAAGCTGGTGCTCTGCTGAATGGCTTCTTGCAGGTGCGTGGCTGCAGAGGCAGCCGCCCAAGTTTCTTCCGTCCCTCAGCGTGGATTGAAGCTGCTGTGGGATGGTTCAGAAAAACAGAACAGCAAAGGGGGCTGCTGAAAAGGGGCTTTCCTGCTGTCAGCCATCCGTTGTGCTGGACCGTTCCCTCTTCTCTCTTCTCTTGTAAACGACGTTTCAGAAGCACGCTTCTTTTTATTACACACCAACCTGCCTCTTCGTGCCCTTTAGGTGGAGTTCTGTGAAACAGAAAGTGCCAGCAATATTCGGAAGCAGAGGGCTTTGGAGACCAAGATGTCCCTACGGGAAGAGATGATTAAGAAATGTCTCTCTGAACTCACAGATGTCTGTAAAAACCTTGGGAAAGTGTTTAATGTCCACTATTTTAATATTTTTAACACTGCCACGTTAAAAAGAATAGCAGGTAATCTATAACTTCATGGGAAAATGTGTATGATATAGTTGAGCATAAGTCCTACCATATGTGTTACAATAAAAATAACAAGCGTGTTGTCATTATCAAAGTCACTGACATGCCAAATGTACAATTTCCAACACTTCAGTGCAATGCTCAGCTTATGTACGACAAATGCAACACTTGTTCAAATAGCAATCCTCAGTATTTTATCTTCCTTTATTTGCCATCTCCACCTTTTTTCTCACTTGTTTTCTCTGCATAAGTTTGAATTACATAAGAAAAGGCCATGATACCTGACGGCATTTAAAAATCTGTTACTTGGTAGGATGCTGAAAGAGTTGTAAAATTTGTCTGTCTCCAGATTTTCCAGCTTTCAAAGTGCCCTGTTTCTATAGCTCCTTTTCATGCAGATTTCTTCATCTCTGTCTAATGACCTTCAGGCAATATCAGGGTGATGAAAAAGTCAGTCAAACTTTCGATGTCACTGAGTCCTGACAGGGTGTTGGAAATCACACCCCTGAAGGCAGAAATGGCAAGGCTTTTCTGTGTTGTAGTGGAGTAACAAGGATGTTCCATGATGTCAACAGGGAGCCCTTTACAGCAGCATCTAGCAGCTCTTGGCTGATCTCAAAAAAGCTAAGCAGGAGTGTTGGTTGGTTAGACTTGGAAGCGAGACATTGTACTGTAGCCTAAACTGGGAAGTTAAAAAAAAAGTTCTTGGAAGATAGGGATGACAAGCCAGTTTGGTATTGCGGATGCCAAAAAAGCTGTATTGAGATTTTTTTTTTTTTTCAGAGACTTTGTCTTCAGATCCAGCAGTTTTGCTTCGGATTGATGGTGTGACAGAAGACAAATTAGAGAAATATGGAGCAGAAATAATAGAAGTGATGCAGAAGTATTGTTCAAAGATACTACCAGGTATTTAAATAGCTTCATTTACTTAATGCATTGGCTGGTCACATTGCCACAGAATCGTGCTAAAACGTTAATTTCTGTCCTGTTGACTTTTTTCCTTCCTTATCACTAACACACCTCAGTTGCTTTGGTCTAGACAAGCTCCTCAAGTATTTTGGTGGCAGTCATGCAAATGGGACCCCTAATGCAGAAATGCTGTCAGAACTAAGAAAAAAGTTTGTATTAAGGAATACTGGGTTTTTCTCTGCAGCGGAAAACAAGCCTCTTGCAGCCACAGAGACTGACTTTAGCAGATGTGATAGTGAAGATGAGGAAGAAGCAACGAATACGACGTCCCACTATTTCCAAACCAAAAATGGCAAGGGAAGGAAGAGGAAGAAGTCTAATTTTTTTAGGGAATCGAAGAAGAAAAAAGGATCTGGGGGACAGCAGGCTTATTCTAAGAGGTACATTTTTCGATTCTTCATAAAGGTTGAATCAAACTGTGACATAGTGCTAATGAAGCACCTTTTAACTATTACATCATGAAAAGTTCCTTGGAGATAGCCACTAGTAGGCCTGCGAGTTGAATTCTGTCATTGGCAATCACTTCGGAATTCTTTAACTCGGGCCACTGACTGGCTGTGCCTCTCCTTCCACCCCCACCCCCACCCCCGCCTCCCCATTGTAAGAGCCACAGAGGTATAAACACCCCCTGAGCACTGAGGATTCAGAAAAGGTGATGGGAAAAGGAGTCTCTCTCTGCTGGTGTCGCTATGTAAATGTTTCCTTTCTCTGTCTGCAAATGACCATTTAACTAAACTGTCTGACAGAAGCCCCTGTGATCTTTTGAAACAAGATATATGAAGATGCTCTAATAGCCTGTTTGTTCTTCTCTCTTCCTAGGAGTTACAAAGCCTGCAAAAGCACTTCGGCTGGTTCTAAAAATTCTACTTCCTGTATTATTCCTGGCCAGCCGGGAGCCGGCAAGAGGCCTGGAATCATGACACTGCCAAGGCCCCAAAGCAGACAATACCTTAAACCTTCTTACGTGCTTTTGTGATGCCCTTAAAAGTTATTTTCATTTTTGTAAATGCTATTCAGCATAAAAGTATTAAAGTTTTCATTGACTTTTATATTAAGTATTCATGTTTCATAACTTGCTTGTACATAAGTAAAGCATTTAAATTAAGTCGCTTCTCGTGAGCTGTTGCATAAGAAAGCTTCTGAGTTGTGGGTACGAATCCCCTAAATATGAAATGAATGTCTGGGAGGCGGGAGAGTAGAAATTTAACTGGTAGAGATTAAAATGGACTGTTTGTAGCCCAAGTGATGCGGTGAGGGCAGTGATGAGCAGCAGCCCTTTGAGCAAGACAAAGATTGCCTGCTGGCCACCAGTCTCAGG